ACTGCGTAACAGCTCTCCTTCACATTACCATTACTTCACCTCCAAGCCCAATCTGCCAGATAACTCTACAAAAGAGGCGTCAAATAACTACTTTACTGAAGATGGCATAATACAAACGCTCTGAATTACCTGTATACAACCACTTTATTAGATGCTCCTAACATGTAGGTCTAACTAAGCTGGTATCACTTACAGACTGTAGCCCATCTGATGCCATGTTAGCCACCCTCTAGCCTTTCAAAGGCTGACCACAAAACTGGTCATGATTAGAATCAGGGACAGTCATAACCCTTTGGCTGGATAGACTGTAGCTGAACAAATTAAAAACCATGGCAACCTACTTGACAAGAGAATATCCCTCACGTTACCATTACTTCACATCCAAGCCAGCCAATCCCAATCTGCTCAACATCCCTACAGATGAGGGTTCAAATAACTAACCAAAGATAACAAATGTATCCAGTACATTAATTTAACTAACTTAATTTTGTCTTCTGACACCCATCTTTCAATTCTCCAAACCAACAGCTAATATAGACTCACCGGCCACTTTTATTTGGAACTCCTACCACGTAGGTCTAACATACTGGTATACATAAGACTAGTGCCATGTTAGTCACCCTTAGCCCTTCAATACTCAGCTTCTGACCACAGAATGGCTCTTGGCTAGAGCAGTGAACAACAACAACCCTCTAGCAAGACTGAGTGCGGCTAAGCAAACTGAAGACCACGGCAATCTACCGGACAGGTAATCTTCACATTACCATTACCTCACATCCAAGCCAGCCAATCCCAATCTGCTCAACATCCCTAAAAAAGATGCTCCACGTATCTACTTAAATGAAGAGGCTGTAATAAAAATGTACAACACATGTATTTAAGGTTAATACCTTCTTTTTGTCTTCTAACAGCAATTCAGTTCTCTGTACCAACAGTTAACACACACTCACTAGCCACTTCATTAGAAACCCCTAGGCTACCTTGTAGGTTTACCATGCTTGTATATGAGACTGTTGCCATGTTAGCCACCCTCACGCCCTTCAATATTCAGTTTTCTGACCACACAACGGCTCTTGGCCAGAGCTGAAGACAAACACGACATTGCAGATAGACAGCTAGAAACTTAGGTACGTTAGCTAAACATACTGAACCTACTTGGTAGACAATCTCCTTCACATTATCATCACTTTAGCCTAAGGCTGCGAAGCTGCTGTCAGCAGGTATGTTAGCATCAGGAAGCTAACCTGTAAATCTACTAACGTTACGCACATCCTGACGAGCTTTATAAGGTGTAAGTCATTACTTAAAGCAGCATCTATCCAATTCCACAGCACTCCAGCTGACAGTTAGACAGCTCGGCTGGCTTTACTATGAGAGTTTGTTGAGCTTTCTCACACGAGGCTGAAGTTGGCTTCCTATTCGCCAGCTTCTTGTTCGAATTTTCCCGTTCCACCTTAAATGGTGCATTAGTTGCTGCGCCCTTTAAGGTGGAACGGGCGAATTCGAACAAGAAGCAGCGAGCTTGAGAATAGGAAGCCAACTTGGCCAGAATGTAACTGCTGCACCATTTAAGGTGAGCTGGGAACACTGGAAGAAAAAGCTGGCGGATATGAAGCTGACATCAGCTTCGCCTCTCTCGCCCCGTCAGAAATAAATAAGTGAAAGCCCGAGCGCTCGCGTGCCTGCTGCTGGATTTTTCCGTCCTCCGTAACGACCCAGTGGGTGGTGGCTCGTCCTGGCTCGACCAAGAGCACGCAGATGAGAACGAACATCCTGCTCCGAGCCGACGCTTTCCACAGTCCGTTAAAACCGAAGAGATTTCTCAGTCTAACGCCGCCGCTCTCGTCGTTCGCCATTTTTTCTCTCTCCCGTCCATCCGACCCGCGTCGTCATCGCGGTCCTTCTACATCCGGGTTACACGCAGTCTGGCGTTACTATAACAACTCAACAGCGACCACAACAATGCTAAAATAAAAACGCTAAAACGTGTATATACATTTAATTTTTCAATATTCTCATTTAAATACATTTTCATTTGTAACAATGTTTTATTATTACAAATATGAACTATTTTTAATTATACAATAATAATGTTACTGCAATTATTAAACAATAATAACAATAATGTCACTGCAATTACATTGAACAATAATAGTGTTGTACGGAGCCCCGCTGGTGACATCCTGTATAAATAAAAACAATGCGTGGCCACGCCTTACTAAGTCGGGGAATGAGATGATTAAGTCGTGGCCACGACTTAGTAAAGCGTGGGAACGAGATCCTAATGCGTGGCCACGACTTAGTAAGCCGTGATCTCGTCCCCACGCCTTACTAAGTCGTGGCCACGACTTAATAATCTCATTCCCATGCATTAATAAGGTGTGGCCACGCATTAGGATCTCGTTCCCACACGTTAATAAGGCCACGCATTATTCTTATTTATAGAGGACGTCACCAGCGGGGCTCTGTATTGCTGCAATTATTAAACAATAATAATGTTACTGCAATGTTACAACAATAATAATGTTATCGCAATGAAATAATCTAGGAAAAAAAAGTAGTGAAAAACGATATATTACGGAGCCCCGCTGGTGACATCCTGTATAAATAAAAATAACGCGTGGCCACCACTTAGGTTCTCATTCCCACGTGTTATTTTTATTTATACAGGATGTCACCAGCGGGGCTCCGTAATATAGTTCCTTTTACATAGCTAGCTATATTTTTTATTTTTACTATTTCCCACACTTCCACCACAGCCATTTAGTAACTCATAATAATTAAAGTTTTCCTTTATTATGACTTACTATGCATAATTATGTGATAATCTCATAATTATGACTTAATATCTCATAATAATTACAAATGCATAATAATGGGAACATTTTCTAATCGTTATGAGAAAGTTAGTCATAACTATGAAATGCTAAGTCATAATTATGAGAACGTAAGCCATAATTATGACAGTCATTATGAGATGCTCAGTCATAAATTTGAGATATTAAGTCAGTAATGAGTTAATTATGAGATAATGAGATGATACTAAATTATAATTATTAGAAAGTCATGAGATTATTATGAGACATTAAGTCATAATTCTAAGATACTAAGTCATTATTATGAGATACTAAATCATACTTATGAGATTAAGTCATAAATACAGAAAACATTCTCATGATTATGCCTTACCAAATGGCTGTATATATATATATATATATATATATATAAAAATGTATATAATTTTTATATATATATTAGAATAATAGTGAAGCAACTCAAAACAAAAAAGGTGTTCAACACATAAAAATATAATAAAAATATTTTTTAGATTATTTTAGCAAGTTTTGCCTTGAAGCAGATTTACACTCTTGATGATTCTATTGCAGCTTCCTGAGATGTCTTTCCAACAGGACTGAATACTTGTGGGGAATTTTGAATAATATGTATTTTTAAGTTTTCGAATTCAAATTAAAACATTTTGTTTTAGAAATAATTTCAAAAGGGATCAACCTCACTTTATGTCTTACACACAATATTTAACGCTTTCATTTGCATTTATGCATAAACTGTTGGTTCAAAATGTCTTTAAAAGGCCCCTATTTGACATATATGTAATATGTATGTAACGAACTCCGTTCTGATTGTCTGGCCTGTATGGTCGCCCATTCATAAAGCAGTCCAAGCTAAATCACTCTTTATAACTTCAGTGTGAATGGCTGGGGCTAAACTGTTGTAGGCTGAATAGATTAAATATATGATTATGTAGGTTTTTCATGACATCATAAAATCAAAGCATTCAAAACACAGTTTTTGCAGTTTAGTTTCCATATATGGACCATATGGAGTGGAGAGTGAATTGATTTTGGGATCTTTTTGGAATAAAAGAAAGCTACTAAAGTTCGAAAGTGAGAGCAACGGTAGCAAAAGAACAGAATTAAATGATTCTCAAAAATGTATTTGAAACTAAACGGGAAGGATTGAAATGTCACTTGAATACATGTATTATTTGAAAATGCTCATACAAGTATAGTTCCATGTAGTTGCTATTCACCTCTGCTATTGTCAAAGTACATTATGAAACCATAGGCAATACATAAAAGACTCATAACTGGACTGCAGTAACAACTTTTATAACTAGAACTTTTATAACTATAAAAGTCTTTATTTCTTTTTGGAATAAAAGAAAGCTACTAAAGTTCAAAAGTGAGAGCAACTGGACTGCAGTTATAACTTTTATAACTAGTACTTAAGCCTATTTGGAAATGAATATACAGTCAGAAAAAAGGTCACTACCACATGTCATAGCATCTGAAAGGGCAAAGTTCAAATTCCACATCATGTAGGCTGTGGAACAAAATCAATTTTTGACCAGAGACAGACTAAGTCCATGTATATGTGCATAGTTACATTATAAATCTACATGGGAGTTTCGTCATTATACTGTCACAATAACTATTTAAATTGAACTGGATAAAAGATGGTGATGCACACAAAGCACAGTTGTTAAATGATGACTGACAGTGTTCAAAATCATTTTTTATATAGTGAACTGTACAATACAAATACAAAAAAAACTTGTAACAATATATTGTGCAAAACATTCATGATAGGCATAGACGTTAAAGTAGTACATTTGGTAACAACCTAGCTCGGCGTTTCCTCTTCCAGCACCTTTTGTGTTTTTCCTGTTCTGACGCATCAGAAAACACAAAAACTGTGCAGCACAGCTGGGCAACAGAATTGGAGGCAGGAAAGCTTGGCCTAGCTTAAATCATACACCCAATCACCATTCTACGTCCATGTAAATATGTTACAAGGGAAAGATGATTTTGCTTAACATGAATATAAAGTTAAAACAAGAGGACCTTCGACTGTGCATTAAAACTAGTGTTAATCACATTAACAGTGAACATTCAATACAGATTCTTTAAGAAGCATTAAATATATTACCCTCATGTACACATACAATGCAAAATAACATAGATTATTAAAACGTGAACATAAAAGCTTTTTGATATTGATCAGGTCATGCAGTATTTACCGCTCCAGTCCCAATATTAGTATTTACTCTGTGTGTGGTCAGAGCTGTGTGATGGTGGAATTCAGGACATCTGGGGTGCACTTTGACTTAGAGGCCTTGGAGAGATCTCGCTGTGGAAGAGAACATCCAATCAACAATGTGTCATGTAAACGCTCCTTTAGATCAGCATGTTTGCATGTATAGATTGGTCTACCTTAACCTAGAAAGTTAACTTTTCCTTGTGTCAAATGTAAGGGTGTAAATTATACAATAGTTAGTTTAGACAACATAATCTGATTGGCTGAGAAGCATTCTAGCTGTGCTGTTATTTGTGATAGTGACAGTTTTTTACGACTGCATCATTACGCTGAACACCAGCTGGTAAGTAACGACTGCTTTTCAGCCAACCGTTAGTAAGTTCTACTTTATTACAAACAGAAAAAAAATCTCTCCTCGATTTCTCAAGAAATGAACATCAAAAAATGATAAAACCTACACTTTCTCACTCCTGAGAAGATAGAGAAGAAGCTAAAACCAATATATTTCAAAAATATCCATTAAATTACGCTGGACATAATGATTCGGAAACACTGACGGTTAATTTTGCAGAACTGTTGTATAAATGCAACAGAACACTCTGGGGTTGCGTGTTAGCAAGAAGAACAACACAGCCTGAGACCGAATCACAGCCATAATGTTATTTATGATAACACACTGCTTCTCATGTTTTATTGCTTAATTATACCAACAAGGGTCTCACTGATCATTGACAGTGGCTTGCTGAAAGGCACTATCAATAATCAATTCATTGATTTCATTCACTGTTCAGGTTTTACTACTGTTTATATCTCATGTCTTTATATCTAAAGAGATCACTATTTTGCACATGGACACACTACTTTGCAGTTTTTATTTTGAAAAAAATTGTATTTGTGTCTGATTCAAATCAGTCTATATAGTATACAATCAGAGCTTTGTAGCTATAATATGTTGCAAATGATGATACAGAGCAAATAAACAGTTTTGCAGTGACATTAATATAAGACATCTAAGAAATGGTCTGTTCTTTTAAAGGGAAATTTCATTTTTCAAATTTCTGCATAGTACAATTGTCAAGATGTAAACATCATTCAGAGTGGTTTAAAGTGAAATGCTTCATCGTAGAGAAACTTACTGACTTCTGATTTCTTTATAGTGGTGGTGATAGGAACCAGGGATCACAATGACTACAAGACTACAGTGCAAATATATTTTTATATACATATTTTACTCTTCAAATCAACCAGTAAACCAATAAATGGCTTTGTAAAATAAGTTTTTGGTCAAAATCTTATCTTGAAACTATTACCAATGTCTCATGCATCAGGCAGTGTATTCCTTGTTTTCCTAACCATTTCATGCAATAACATTCTTTGACATAGTTTTTAGAGACTTTTACTGCTTAAGACATCTGTTTCCCATCACAATTCTGACTCAGTAAGTTTCTCTAGAATTGAGCATTTCACATCAAACCACTGTGAATACGTTTGTTTACCATTTAATTATGCAGAACATCAGTGGAATTCTGCTTTAACAGACAAAGGACTGGATATTGTTAACAGTGACAAAGATGATAAAGAGACAGATGAAGGTAGTTAGTAGTCATCAGGTTAAAATGTGCAGTTGTGAGAAAGAATGAAAAAAGGGATTATATGATACACACAGTCTAACTCCAAACAACAGGTCAGCAGGAGTACATAATTACTAGGTTACATATGTGCAACAGCTCAGCTGGAGAAGAAGATAAAGGTTTAAAAAGTTTGGATAAGCTGGCAAATGTTTATACACAAATAATAAATTCAGACTATTTAGACTACTGCAGACTAAATTAAGGCTGAATTCTTCTATTACTAAACTGTAGTTTGCACTCCTGTATTTTAATGCAGGATCATTTGTCTGTTCTGTCCATTGTTTATTGCTACTGTGTTGTCATTGAATCAATGCATGAAACATGTTTACATTTACAAATCCAGTGCGGAAAATGAAATAGCTAATCGCATATGAAGGGACAAGACATAGATAGAAGCGTGGCACGCAAACTGTCAATCTGCCATCTTTTCACAAAAGAGCTGTAGCAGCTTTGTTAAGGTAAGCATGCACTTATAAGAAACTTGGCTCAGAAAAGCATTTGTTAAAACAAACCTTGATTGAACAGAATCTGCGTTGACTATTTCCTTTTAAAACAAATTTAAAAATGAATTATACATCAAGGTAAGATAAAATAATGCAAGATATTTTTAAATTAGTATTGTAATGTATGTAATATATGTAAATCTGAAGACATTTAAATACAGCTCAACTAACACGTAATATTTTTTGTTAATCCTTAAAGGAAAGGAGAGTTTTTTCCGTTCTCAAATTTTCCTTTAAGCATTAACAAATGTGGTTTGATATGAAATGCTCCTTTCTAGGAAAACTTACTGAGTCAGGTATTGTTGACAGTGATGGTGATAGGAACCAGACATCTAAAGCACTGAATGCCTCTAAGGCTCCCTCACTGAAATCTATTATACAAAATGCTTATGAATATGCTGCTTGACGCCTGAGACATTGTTTTATAATAGTTTTGACATAAGATTTTGGCCTTAAACTTATTTTTAGAATCCATTAATGGCAGAGAGGTAGATCTAGGGTGATGCAAGGCAAAATAGTCCTCAAAGAAGTCAGAATAACCACTATTTTACCATTATTAACATTACACATAAAACATCAGAAGACACAGGCAGGTTCACTGGTTATTTTTGATAGTAAATAAAATGGTTATACTTGTGTTGTAGATATCACAACCTCTGGTTTCCATCACTACCATTGTGAATAATTTTTGTTAAGCTCTCTAAATGAACTGTTAAGTTTTCCTAAAATGAACACATAAAAATTTCACATCAAAATACTTTTTGTTTACACCTCATAGAAAATTTGAAAATTTGAAAAATCAGTGGATTCTCCCTTTAAGGTGCAGATAATCAGATTATATATCAAAAACATTTCAAGACGTATTAGTTGCAACAAAAGCTTTGCATCATGCTAAAGGTTAAAACATCATTAAATCAGTACTCTCCGTAAGGCTCAACATTTTATGCCTGTTTTTAAATGCTTTCTGCTCTTTGATTAGACTGTGTGTTGTTCATTGAAACTTGAATTACAAAAAGAAAAAGGAATTACCGCAAACTCTGAATAGGTGCTGGCGACAGAGTTAATACTGAAGTTACGTTGTGGGCTAGCTGGAGTCTTCAACGCACCACTTATACCGCAGTTAAGATGACAAATATTCTCCTTGTTGCGTTCCACCAGTCCTGGATGGGGAGGTTTGCCACGACCAGGGGTCCTTACTGCATTACCCTGTTTCAGAAAGAAAAACAAAAACATTGTTTGAAGTCACTTCACTAAATATAAAACTATGTTCCATTGTCCATGCAAGACTGAAACTAAATCTAATGTTTGTTAAGGCCCTGCACTAACCTTGCTTGCTGATATTGGAGGGCGGGACACAGGGGAGTGACAGACAGTTCCACCAAAAACAGAGCGCATAGTGCTGTTAGAGGTGCCAGTGGAGGTGCTGGAGGTAGCATTAAGCTATTGAGGGAAATGCAAGGGGTGTTAGTGATGCAATGAAAAGGCAATGAATCACAACATGCAATGATGAAATTATTCAGCTTAAATTTAAGCGACAGGAATTAATAAGCATACAGTCACTGTCAGAACAAAACTTTCTATCTCCATATTTTTCTTTTTTTGTCATTACATTTGAAAAAGCCAGCTGCAGTTTGCCCTCTGTCAAAATTTCATGCCAAATGCACCAAAAGAAAAGGACCAAGATGATTATATAACCTTGTTACATCAATTTATGCTGAAAGTTAAGGACATTTTTTCTTCTTCTGTAAGTTACCTTACTGGAGATACCAGGTTTTGTTCCGACAGTGATTTCAAGCAAATCTCATTACGTGTTTTTACCTTTCGTGCCTTGCAAGGTGTCATACTCCCCAAGAATCTTCGTTTAGTTGGTGTCCGAACTGCAGTGCCATAGAGCATATCCTCCTCCGTTTGTTTGTTTTTTTTCTGTTGCTAAAACAAAGACACAAGCTTCAATAACTTGAATGTCTAAGCACTTCTAAGAGTTTCTAAAAATATTCTGATATTATGCTAAACATCTGGCACGCAACCAATAACAAGACTTTCCTGTATGATCTGTAAACTCACATTCTGAATAACAAGCTAGGACACTATGGCCCATTTAAATGAAGAGTGTATACCGTTGCTGTCGGAACAAAACCTTGCATCTCAAAAATGATAACTTTACAAGAGAAGTAAAAAACATATTTTACTTTTAATGTAAGTCAGTGGAACCAGACTTTTTCTAAGTCCTTTTGGGTCATTTCTTTTAGTTCATTCAAGAGATAAATAGAAAATGTAAAGGGAAAGAGGCATTTTCAAAATACGTCAAAAATTGAAAAACAAAAACAGCGATGGGAGGTTTTGTTCCAACAGCAGCGACATGCATAAAAGTGATGCTTAGCAACCACCTACTTAGACAACTGATATTTATGAAAGTGAAACTTTGAAAAAGTGTGTAGTTCTCCACACATTCTGTATGTGGTGTATGCAAATATGGGGGGTGAATGGGAATTACTGACAACTAGTGGTAAACAAGAGAGGTACTGCTAAAATGATTGGAAATGTGACTTTTTCACAGAATCCACTAAAAACACACAGAATATTATGTTTTAAATAAATAGCTTATATGAATTTATTTTTCCAGCACTACTGCTAATTATAATATTATAATTAGTAAGAATAAAAATATTGTTTGATAAATAAATATAACCACCTCCCAAAGTGATCAACATATGTGATCATTACTGATGACTGTAATGGCTGTGCCACTGGAGGACCAATTAGATGAGCATGTGATTTATGACAAAAATAGGCATGGTCAGAAATCTGACATAGTAGGTATATAAAGGTAAATAATAAAATACTTGTACACATAATTTTAGTGGGAATTCGGCAGACGCTTTCCTACATATGGCCCCAGGACTGATGCAAGGTGTACCGTAGTTACAAACAGCTAGATGAGCTACAGAACCTCTGGTTAGATGGTGCTGATTTAGTGCTTATGAAAATCAAGAGATTAATATTAGTGGTTATATGTAATTTCTTTTAAGGGATGCACAAGATCCGAATCAGCAGATTTCTGCTCCAAACACCTCTAAATACTCCATTTTCCCTCACGCACAAAAAAACCCAGAAAAGCACACCCTTTCTTGCTTCTCCCGCTCCTTCTCAAGTCGATGCAGCTCCCACTGCTCAGTAACAAACTGCATGAACTTCTGACCTTGGACCAGAAACTCCCTTCCCTGCTCTTGCTCCCACAAGTCAATCTGGGCCTTCAGCTTCTTTTCCAGCTAAATGAGAGACATTGAGAAATTATTTCATTCAGGGTTGATTTTACTCAGTTCGGCCAAAGCTGAGGATTTTTGTTTTGGAATCAGTTACCTTAGGAAGGCTTTTGAGCAGGTCAGACCTTTGCTTCTCTTCCTTGAGAAGGTTTCCTCCTCTGTTTGTGAATCTCGAAGGATCTGTAGCTCTTTTCTTCAAAAAACAATGAAATAAATAAATAAGAAGAGAAAACAAAGCTTGCTGTAGATGAAAGCAATATACCACATCAGCGTATATCTCTTGATCATACAACTTACTTCAAGTTCCAGGAAAACCCTCCAACTCTCCTCCCATTTCTGGACACCTTCAAAAAGTTCTTTATGATCTTCGTAATGCTGTTTTAGACGCAGGATTTCAGCGTCATGCAAGCTCAGAAGGTCTTCATTAAAATTATCTGAAGAAGGAAAATCATTATTCTCATGACATATATATATATATATATATATATACATATTAATGTGTATATCGCCGTTGTTGGAAGAAAACCTTGTATCTCCATTTTTTGACGTTTTTCAGTTTTTGACATAATTTGAAAGCACCCTTGGTCCTATATATTTTGTGTAAATTTCATGACGAATGGACCAACAGAAGTGACCCAAAATTACTTCGAAAAAAGTCTGGTTTTGGGAGATACAAGGTTTTCTTCCGACAACAGCGATATATATTTTAGAATCTTACAGAGCTCTCTTCATCATTCTGGACACTGCTAATTTTTATTTACATCTTCCTAGTGTCCTACTAAATATTCGAAATGAGCATGTTAGAATGATAATATACTCCTGTCTGCAACAAATTTGACTTTATATTAGAAATAGTGATACCAAACTTTGTTATTCCAAGCTAGTGTATGTCTTGGCATAAATCAAAAAAAAAATCGCTATCGTAATTCAGAAATCTCTGCTTACCATCATAGTAGGGCACAAAAGCCTGGCGCTGCTCAGTACTATAGAAGCACTTCTCCCAGAACACAGCAATGTCATCCCGAATAGCCATAGTAACATTCTTAATATTCCTAAGCTTCAGTTCCTCAAGGCGGTTGACTTCAGCTTGCAGCTAACAACAAAGACAGAACGTAACAAATCAATCTCACTCATACAAAATGCTTTGGCTCTGTATTCCCATACAGTTATATGCAAAAGTTTGAACATGTTTTGTTGATTTTCTGCATCCTCCACAGGGAAAAAAATAAATATGGCATTTTTCTGCAAATTTTACTGCACAATTTCTGTTTATTTGCTGAGTAAAAAAATAAAAAAAATACAGTATAAAATGTGCCATAACATTTGCAAAGGCCACCTTTTATGTTTTATCCCCAAATATGTTTGTAGAGGATGTGTTAACTTGTTTTTATGTAGGAAATCAACAAAACATGTTCAAACTTTTGCATATAACTGTATTGTAATACAGAGGGTGCCCAATTTTTTACATATGAATATACATAAAAATGGAAAAGTTGAGCATGAAACTCAGCATACTTGTTCTTATTGTGACAGATATGTACTTACAGCTTCAATGTTCCTCTTCTTAGACAGGGTCATATGCTCAGAAATGGCATCTCGATCTTCCTGCGAGATCTGTAACCTGTCCCATAGGTCCTGGATCTTCTCTCGATATGACACACACATGTGTTCATTCTCAGCTTTCTTGCTCTCCAGCTGAAACAATTTAATATCAAAAGTTTTGCATATTGAAGCATTTCATTAGAGCTGGCCTTATAGGATAAAACATGCTAATTTGAGCACAATGCCCTTACCTGATGAAGCAGGACTTTAAGGGAGTCAATATTCTCTTTAGACAGACAAAAAGCTTCTTCATCCTCACACACAATATCCTTTTCAAAACTAGTCTCAGGCAACTGATCCAGGTCATCCATGCATAGTATTATCTTTTTCTTAAGTTCCACAAACTTGCTGTGTCTTTGTTCCTGAAGAAAAGACATGAAAGACATATTTTAATTCAAACATACATTAATAAAATGTGCCAATGCTTTATGAAATAGAGCCTTTTAAACCCTGAGGACCTACATGTAAACCCACACCTCAGTTCCTTACTATCATAAATACATAACCTGCATATTAGTTTCACAACAAATGCACAAAAGTGACATTTCTTCAGATACAAAATAGTGATGTCTTAATACGATATATAGGAGTAAAAAAAGGAGTACTTGAATATGAGCCTTCTGTTCATATTAGGGCTGATGGATTAGAAAATATCTAATCACAATTTTATGACCAATATTGCGATTGCGATTATTTCTTCTTTACATTATGAACAATTCATACTAATGCTATTCTAATATTTATTCATTTATTTCCTATAAATGAAGCTCCAGTGGTTATGTGCTTATAACAACTTAAGTGAATTTTGTCCTTAAGTTTTCCTTTTTTCCTATATTCCTATAAGCATTTAACTTTTTCGAGCATTTAAAATTTTCAAGATGTTTTCAGCAAGAAATCACAGGTCTTTTTTTCCACAAAGAATATCCGTTTTTGGGGTCAAGGCTTCATTGCTGAATTGTAGTATGACGGACTGCCAGTTCACAAGTTCTGTGTTATCAGGTTAAATTACCTTAAAATATGTTAAGACAATGCTGCATAATTAAGAATATAACTTAAATTGCAGCTCTTGAATTTAAATTTCAATTGAATTTTCCAATTTCGATACGATTCCAGCCCTAGTTCATATGCTAGTATTAATATATTAATGTTTGCACCATGTATGCACACTAGCTGCATTATGATGCACAAAATTCAAGGTTCAACATGACTTTCTGTTCCAAGGTCAAGATTCAAGATTCAAGATTCAATTTCAAGAAATAACTATTATTTACTAGACAGACTGGTTTGGCTCAGATAAAAGTTCTCCAACAGAACTTGTTTTAATGTCTACCGCTCCACTCTCTAACAAAATAAACCCCAAAAATCACAATCCCTAGACTTTATAATTGACTTAAAAAAACAACACAACACAATTGAGTGAGGATGTGTCTATACAATAAGTCCCTCCCCCTTCCTGCACACTTTACTCTGATAGAATATACCCAGAAGCCTAGCTTTGATCATGGATACTCGTTTTTGTGAAAGGCGGTTAATTAGAGACCCCAGAAGAAATCGAGGGGCGTATTTGTGATAGTTTGAAATGATGAACACTGATTCAAATTTAATCTTTGATATGTATTGAAATCGCTACAACCTTTGTAGTAAATGAATAAAAGGCGCAAGATAAAAAATTTATTCATAAGCCAAGGGTACAAAAAGGTTAAACTTAAATACAATTAAGCCCAATGTGAATGAGTAAATAAATAAATGTTCCACCTTTTCTGCTGTGAGAGCAGCTATGTGCTGTCGGAGGCTTTCCAGTTGCTCGAGAGATGGAACCGAGCTGGCAGAGACAGAATACGGCTCCGAGCAGAGAATGTCACAGAGGTCCTGATCCTGCTCTATTAGGGCTTTAAGCACTTGCATCCTCTGACTCTTCTCCTTCAGCATAACCTCAAGGCAGCTTCGAATATCCTTCTCCTGCTGGAGCATTGTGTTACTCCTATCCTCCTAAAAGACAAATAGTAACTTTAAATGTGAAGTTCTTTGGTGAAATGATCTGCCACTAAACAATAACATTAACAAAGGATGAACTACATCAACTAAAATAATGCACATATTAAATCCATAAAAATGTGTCAATAAACACAAAAGAACATAGTAAAGCAGGAAATGTTGACAACCATTTATTGATGCAGGACGTCCTAATGCCATTCACGAGATTGAACAGCAAATACTACCATCATAACAGCTCACTCATAATCAAACATAACAACGCTTTGGTATAAATGTTCTTCTATTGTAGTGGCAGACCTCAGCCCACTGATGACAACCATGCTCATCACTTTATACTGTGTTTTTCTTTCTTTTGATTTTAACATTTGATGATCATAACTGTTCATAATATGAGATCATAATAAGCACGTACTACTGGTCAGGGTCATCTACGTACAGTCCAACCACACTTGCCTGAAATGGAGGCAGCTGCAGCTCCGAGCACACTTTGTTCAGTTCTTTGCGGCACGAGTCAATACTCGCCATCAAACGCTTACGCAGATTCTCCTCCTCTGCTATCATCATGTCCAGAAGGCCCTAACATGAACAATTACATTCACAATTCATAGGATCTTATTCAATTTAGTGACACCATGCATGAGCACAACAACCTCAAACTCACTTTGATGTGGTTTTTAACCACATTTGTTCTCTCCAGCCTCTGCTCCTCCGGGATCCCAATCTCCTCCCATATGTCCTTCAAGTGGCATAGTGCTTTATTCAGGCATGCCACTGATTCGGCTGCAAGCACCTCACTGCAATTATAATGGAAAAACATGCAAATCATGCCGTCTTTACTGTTACGCCTGTTACTTTACCATTACTAGGCTGTGAAGTTACATCTAGTTAAAAATTGTCTGATTTAAACAGAAAGGTGATCTGCACTAGTTCACACTGTAACTTAGTTTTCAGAGAGGTTTGGTTACTCTTAATTCCAGTTTTAGGTTGCTGCTGCAGTACAAAATCTTTTATATATAGATATTAGACTTCTTAAAGGATAATTCCACTGCCTGTCTTTTTTAATTCATTCGTAAAGACGTATACAAAGTTATTCAGTGTTTTGATGTGAAATGTGCAGCTCCAAAGAAACAAGACAGAATTTTTCACAGCTGTGGTGACAGCAACCAGATGTCTGAACTCTAAAAGCTCACAAAAAGTTATTAGATGAAATAATTATGAATACACTGTTTTGGTTATTAATACAATGTTTGTGATTAGGTTTTTATACCCAAACAGTATTTTTAAAACAAAATTGGTCCCGAAGGAAACTTCCATGCATTTTTTACACCTCTATCAATATTACATCTAAAACTCATGACACATATAGGTTCACTAGTCACTTTTCATAGTGTATAAAGTCGATATATGTATATTGTAGACATCGTGACCCCTGGTTCCTATTTATACTGTAGACATGATGACCCTGGTTCCTATAACCACCACTGTAAAGAAACACATGTCAGTAAGTTTCTCTACAATGAATCATTCTACATCTGAATAACTTTGTTTACATCTCGACGATTGAATTATCCATATTGTAACTGTAATATCCATACTGTAAGTCTGATATATAGCCATATATGCGCACAAATCATAAGGAGTCAGGCATTTATTTCAAAATATATGGATCATACATATATGTCTGATAGGTGGGTGAACATCCCGGTAGAGTTATAATGACAATCAGTTCTGTCACTATATTATCTGTTTGCTTTTAAATATTAAATTATTTAAAAGTGTCAGGGACAATATTTTCATTTATTTCATTTTCAACATTCGTCTTAATGCTTTTATTGCATAGTTTACAATGTGTATGTTTTTAGAGTTTAGTTATGCAGCTATCATACTAATGTTTACTTTATTAGGAAGAAAAAATGTATAAAAAACTTATATAACATGAAGGTAGTGTACGAGTGCTGTATGCCATCCATATGTGAATGTTTTTCTATCATATATTGTTATACATGTGTTACACATATATGTCTGTGCATTATATGTTGATATACGTTTGAAATCTAGGCAAATTTCAAATAAGTTGGCATTTATGTCACATTAATGTCAGCTTAATGTGCATATGTGATAAATATAAGGTGGATATATAGGGAGATCCATACATGATAATATATGTCATACATGTAAAACCCCTATATCGCCATGTGTCAGATTTCTGTAGGGGTAGGTTAACATAAAACATTGAACACTCTTAAGAAGTAAGATACGAAGCCTAACGTTATTCAGTAAAGGCAGAATAAAGACTAACCTCACATTTAGGTTCACTGGAGGCTTAAGTAATTATTTTGGCATAAAGAAAGGACAGTAAATGCTATAACGCTACTGTTATTACACAGCTGTAACGTTAGATTGTCATGAAACCTGACATTAACAGTCAGCCAGTTAGAGAACGTACATAACGCCATTGTTATAAAGCGATTAAATATAATTAAACACACGTTTTAAAATAACGTTACTGACCTTTTCCTCATCCTAAGGTGCCCTCGGAGCTGATTATAATCGTGTTTTTTAATAACTCGCTATGTAGAAGACGGAGCTGCGACCCACCCGAATCACCCACAGCCGTTTCTGTCTGATTCAAAACACGCGTCAAAATATGCGCCTCGGATTCTGATTGGCCAGCGAGGCGCCGAACAGCGCACGCGCGAGGGTGTGTTCTGGAACAGGGCTATTTCCATCAATGACGCAATCAACGGTCACTCGCCTCCGGCCCCAGAGGACCGGCTGGTCAGAGATCAGATCACTGGCCGAGTTCAGTCGCTCTGTGTATACCAGTGTAGTTCAGTGGTTCACTCATCCGCTGAGCTCCTTTGCAGTATCACTACTGTATGTTCAAGGGGCATTCCACCGAATTTTTAAAATTTCTGCATAATTCGATCGCTGAGATTTACGCAGTTATTTAGAGTGGTTCGATGTAAGTTGGCTCAATGTAGATAAACTTATGGCTTTCTTTACAGTGGTGGTGATAGGAACCAAGGATTCCCTGCTGAAAAATAACCATTGGAACCGTTAGGATTAAAATTTGGCGATTTTGCTCTCTAATGGGAACTGGCTTATACAATATTAGAGACCACTATGTTCTTGTAGGACACCTTTAGATCCCATTAGGAAACCATTAAATGCATCTGGACTCAGTCCCAGAACACCTGTTAAACCATTAGACTCCTTTACACTGTGATATCAACCCATTGGGAAAACACAGAATACCATTAGTGACCACTGGACACCATCAGGAGCAAACAGAAACTTTGAATGGCTTGTATGATTTTTTTCAGCAGGTATGCGAATGTAACCATTTTATCTTGTATTAAAATCAGTGCACCTATATGTGTCTTCTAGGGTTTTATATGTAGTGTTATTATTATTAATTGTGTTAAAATAGCAGTAAATCTGGAGAAAAAAGTTTTCTTCTGAGACTATTTTGCCTTACAACGCCCTGCATGTACCCCTCCTCCATGAATGTATTTTAAAAATACATTTTAGACCAAATCTTATCATAAAACTATCTCTAGAGTAGATCATTTCACATTAAAACACTCTCAATGACTTTTTTTACATCTGAAAGATTTAATATGCAGAATATCATAGCAATGTCTTAGAAACCTAGTTATAGAAGTAAGCTTTGCTAGCACACCTATCTGCTAATAAGGGCTGCTACACTCCATAGCTCTTTGGTAAAAGAAATTAGAAATACTGAGTAGAGAATGGGAGGTCGTGAAAATTCTTCCTAGAAAATGTAGCTGCAAAGTGAAAATAAAAGAGTAATAAATGTGTCATGAATTGTAATTAACACACTATAGCGCTATTAATATGACAACTATTGTGACAAGGCAAGTTTCTCAGGACCTCAGATTATTTACAGTGTCTAGTAACATTTTATAATGTAAAGAAGTGTCTCTAATGTTTAAACGGACAGGTAAGGTCATTGTGCTTTAGCTTGGATGTCAAATTTTCATCTGCATGTCCCTTTTCTACCTACCCAGACTTGTGTATGGACTAAGGCTATGAGCATATGAAACCTGAATTGTAATAGTAGGAGACTTTTCATCAGGTACATATTCTTACATCAGGTAAAACTCAGGGTTCACAACCTTTCACACATTTAAAATCAAATAAATGTTTATTTTTCACCATTGAAATGGATATTCTGTTTATATATTACATTGCCCATCACGTTCAAAACAGAGCACAACAAACATTTTCTACAAGGGCCTTTTGGCAACTGAGTGTCCCAGCGCAGCGGCGAGTCTTCAGAACCATACGGTCTCCCAGAAGTATGCATTATTCACTGAAACGGCAATATGTAGTGCTGTTGGTCAGTGATGGCATTCATGTCCATTGTTGAGGAAAAAATCCCTCTGGAATGTCTCTTTCAGCTGCGTCCTACAGGCAGGTCACAACCAAATCTCCCGCAACTCTGTCACCTTGTTAACAGCAGCCACTGGAGATTCAAGCATGATTATCCAACAGAGCCTCCAGCAGTCTGGCACTGTTTGTGATGGCTGTGGTCAGCACGATAAACTTATACCCTTTGGTAAAGAAGAGTTAAGTTAGTTTTAATAAGTCAGAACTTTTCAATCCACTACAGCTGTACTGAATCATCCTTACCTTTCTCTCTACCTAAGAAACGCAGGGCAGAAATTTCAGAGTAAGTACATCCTCCCAAGAACATCACAAGAATAATCCTCTGAGGATCCGTTTTGATTCTTGCTTCAGTTCCATTGGTGCCTCCTACAACATAAATGGAGTACGGTAAGTAAGGTGAAAGCATTGCAAGTAACTAAAGTAGGGTCTTGTTTAGTTTTGCACTGGAGCTTCAAGGCTAATACAACAATAACAAGTAATGGACTCTTATAGCCCACCAATTACAACTGCTGTTACAAATCCCTGTTATTTTTGCTGATAGGATAGGGGTGGGGAAAACACATTCTCGGATGCATCATGATTCTTTCTTAAAAGATTCCAAATCAGTAAAGTAGCCCAGCTTGTAGGAGGAAAGACAACACACAATCTCACTAATGTATGCAGGTTTGCAGTTTGTTAGCCCCCTTTCACTCTGTTCTTCAATGGGCAGGACCCCTGCAGGACCACCACAGATCATGTGTTATGTGAATGGTGGATCATTCTCAGTGCTGCAGTGACACTGACGTGGTGGTGTGTTAGTGTGTGTTGCGCTGGTACAAGTGGATCAGACACAGCAGTGCTGCTGGAGTTTTTAAACACTGTGTCCACTCACTGTCCACTCTATTAGATACTCCTACCTTGTTGGTCCACCTTGTAGAAGTAAAGTCAGAGACAGTAGCTCATCTGTTGCTGCACAGTTTGTGTTGGTCATCCTCTAGTCCTTCATCAGTGGTCATAGGACGCTGCCCACAGGACACTGTTGGCTGGATATTTTTGGTTGGTGGACTATTCTCAGTCCAGCAGTGACACTGAGGTTTTTAAAACTCCAGCAGCACTGCTGTGTCTGATCCACTTGTACGAGCACAACACACACTGACATGCCACCACCACATCAGTGTTACTGCAGTGCTGAGAATGAACCACCACTCACGTAATACTTGCTCTGTGGTGGTCCTGTGGGGGTCCTGACCAATAAAGAACAGGGTAAAAGGGGGCTAACAAAGTATTCAGAGAAACAGATGGACTACAGTCTGTAATTGTGGAACTACAAAGTGCACCTATATAGCAAGTAGAACTGATAAAATGGACAATGAGTGTAGAAACAAGGAGGAGTTCCTAAGAAAGTGCTCCTTAGTGAGTGTATATGAGGGCCAAAAACAAATCAAACATATCCTACACAGCAACAACCAGGATATGCTAAATGGCTAAAAGGGTAATCCAGTAATATTCAGAGTTAGACTTTAAGTAGAGATGTTTACTGAAATATTATGTCTCTCTAGCAGGGTTGGTTTAATGTGAGATGATTCCGAATCAGTGCAGAGAAATTTAGATTTCTTTTACAACGGTGGTGATGGGAATCAGGGATCGTGATGTCTAGCCTGCTAGATAAATGAGCATAGACCAGCATGCCTGCTCACCAGCAAAACCAGCATATGTTGTGTTTTCAATGCTGGTATGCCAGCATGACTATGCTGGGTGACCTGCTAAATCAGCATCAGACCAGCACAAGACCAGCATAAACCAACTGAGACCAGCATGGATTTCATGTTGGTCTGTGTTGGTTTTTCAGTAGCGTACAAGATAAATATAGCCATATCTCCAAAACAACTAATGAACCTACACATGTCTTCTGAATCACAATAATATTAAAATAATGGTAAATCTAGGAAAAGTTTGGGGACTATTTTGCCTTAGAACATCCAGCATGTATCTATCCTCCATGAATATATTACTGAAATATTAAGTCTCTCCAGCAGTGGGTGCTATTACCAAGCAAGTCACATTAAAGAGAGGCAACAGCCACAAATGCACATGGTTGGACTAACTTCCAAACAAGTTATTTCTTATTAAATTATTTAAAATGTGATTTGCATTAAGTATTAAAAAGCATAGAGCCTACATTATGATGTAAAAACATAATATAGGCTGCAGAAATCCTCAGCAACTTTAATCAAAATCAAAACAAATCATGAGGTGCCTGGAGATTCCCACCCCTACTTGCTTATGTGGTTTCTTACTGTATATGGCTTGTATACAGGAAGCCTGAATAGTGTCTTTACTTTTACTGATTTTATAGTGTAACTTGGAAACTGCTTGTGAGATACATCTCAAAGTGTGGAAGAGGAGAGTTGTGATGTTCAGGACCTGTTACTGCAAATTCATGTCCATTCAACATGCGTGTGACCTCCTCAAGCCCTGTCCAGCCATCTCTCTCTAATACCTGCAAAGAGAAAAAAAATTTATGCTGCCTTCAAGTCTGAACAAAGTGAGCTGACTGTAAAAAAAACTTGTTTTGGGAACACCAACCTGTTCAATCAGTTTGCAGCTCAAAGGTATATAAGCCCCACTGAAGATGTAGGCCATGTCTCGTGGGACACGGAGGTCATATTCCTCCCCTGATTTAGGAATCTGTGGGTGTGGAGGATCACATAAGAGGAATGCAATGTTTATTAATGTGTTTCATAAGTAAAGTAGAAGACAATCTTACCAGCACCAGCCTTTTACTCAGTGCTCGGAAGTTGCTCTTCTTGGCCAAGGAGGAGAAAGCATCAGTCAGTTTTCCTAAAAAAAAGTATGACTGTATCACCTGTTCAGTGCATATTCTCTCAAAAATAAAGGTTGCTGTTGTTGGCTTAAAGGTACGGTTCTAGGAAAATCTTTAACCCCTTAAATGCCCACTGGTTACACACTTATATAACTTATGAATAGCTCAAACAGTTTGCATTCAAGTCCCCGTAGTTACTGAATAATAAGCCTTAGTGTGTAATAAGTCTGGGATTTTAAGGCGTTAAATGATAGAGAACTGATAGACTTTTTTTAGGAAACCAAAAGTGATTCCTCTATGGCATCGCTCTGAAGTAGGCCTGGCACAATCACTAAATTTGAGTGTAATCACAAACTTTTATGTAATAATTGTGACCGGCCTACTTCAGAGAACCCTTTTTGGCACCATGGGAACTCATTCACCAACCGTTCTTAAGAAGAAATTTCTTCTTACAACCCACTTATGCAGTTTTCACGAAGACTCTTAGATTCTTATTTGGGATTTGTTCTTAGGTAAGAACAAAACCTATGAAACACGCTGAAGAGCACAAAAGTGTGAACAATTCTATGGTTTAAGGACACATCATGAATTTTTTCTTAGGACCTTTTCAAGAATAAGTTTAAGAAAAAACTTAAGAAGATGTTGTTGAATGAGGCCCAATATTTTTAGGAGTGAAGGAGAGTAAATAAAAGTAAAAAGAAAGGGAAACAGTGCAAAAGTGAGAGAAATATTGGACAACCTCAGAGATTTCATGGAGCTTGTCCCGTATCTTACCAGCAGTCTTGTCATTGACCAGTTTGCCCACTTTGCTTTCCATGACTGTTAGTGTCTCACCAGGCTGCTGCTCCACTAGCAGGCCAATTTGCTTCAGGTTGGCAAAGGTCAGCAGGTGCTCTATGCCATAACTCTGAAGACAAGAGGGTGAACCACAATGAAACTTTCAACGATCACACACCAAATGTCAGATACTTACTTATCATGCACGTTGAGCTAACATGTACATATGTGCTATATTTGCCCTGGTATTTGGGAACATTTTAATGCTTCCCTGCTCTGACATCACTTCAACTCAAGAAAGTGTTGTTATTTAGCAGCTAATGAGTTGGATCAGTTGTATCAGAGCAGAGAAAATACCAATATTTCGTTGCTGTTTAAAAAAATCTCCAAAATGGAAACGGGGCAAAAACATTCTTTACCTTTAAGGTAAGTTAATGTACAGAGATTTTATTCAGAGCAATTTTGGAGCATTTCAATTGGTCCAATCATCATTAAATTTTCAAACAATGAAAAGGGCAGTAGCTGTGTTCTAATGATACAGAAAAACAGAAATCTAAAAAATGGAAATACATGTTTTTCAGACAGCAATGACATGCAGGACAGGGGTACCCCAGGACCACCTCAATGTGCTTGTTTCCTGCTCCCCTGTTAACCATAAGCCTAGAAAAGGATTTTTAAATGGTAAAACACTATTAGCATAGGTGTAGTCTAAGACAAGGAGAAGTTGTGTGGCATTCTATAGTCTGCATCATGCCCATATTAGGAACTCAGGTCTAAGCAGATTTTCTCCATGAGACAAATGAATGGCATTTTCGAATATCACCGCTATCACATTCTGTTACTCAATCCTCTGAACTATGAGGCTGTTGAAGAGCCGAAGTACAAATATTGCTATATGCAAGCTAACATTGCTACGAACTCAACTGACATCAAGACTGGCAGCCTCACCCCACACAGAGCAGAGGGCTCGGTCAAACCGCATCTCACATTTAAATACATTTAAAGTTTTGCTTTGAATTTACTTGATTCAAATGTGTAATGAATAAAATACACCACGCTTTTCTTTCCAAAAGTAAGTAAATTGAACAAAAGTTCATGTAATATATTTCATTCATGTGGAACCTGTGTACACATTTAAATCAAGAAAACTCAAAGCAACATTTTTTCAGTGTAGCAGACTTTCACGCAACAGCGTTTCAGTGCACAGTAGTGTTAGCCTGTTCATTTATCTGTTAAAAAAAAATCTGCTTAGACCTGAAGACTTCAGGGGTCTATAATCCACGTCCAGAAAACCAGCCCAACATCTGCTCCAGTATTAACTGACCTGGAGGTACTGAGCCTTTAGGGACCGATAATCTTTGGGGAGAAGTCCTGTTGAGGAACATGAAATAGCATACAGAAACTGTATCATGGTTTTGCACACTTCTCATTAATCTCATCTCTCTCACCACCTCAGCCATAACAGTAACAACAAAATAAGAATAAACATAAGTTAGTTGGTCTTTAACTTTCAGTAAAAAGCTTCAATATTAACTGAGTTTTTATGGGACTCACCATTTTCGGTGATCGACAACAGGCAAAGGAGTCTCAGACTGTCAATCATTGATATCTAATGGATGAAGCACAATAATTCTATTAGTGAGATTATAGCAACACAATGAAGAACTGCACTGCAATTTGTGAAGTAGATCAATACCTCACTGTTATGGCAGAGGATTTTGGTACATAATACATATTATATTGTCATGCTCTGTTTGTGTTGACGCACCTGTCTGTTAATGTGTTCTTCAATGAAGGAGATACATTCCCGAACTTCAAAACCTTCAAGTAAAGCTAATTACCCCCACCCCCACAAAATGTATAATTAATTCAGCAGCAAAATTCTGCTATACTTAAATAAATAAATAAATACATAAATAAAAATAATTTCATAATTATTTCAAAAGAATCAATGTTTCTTACAGTGTTCAGTCTTCAGCAATTCCTGGAAGTCTTGCTTTGTTTTCTTCTTCATTATGCTTTCACTTGCACCGATATCTGATGTAACATGATTTATTAGTCAGAAAACATATTTTTGCCTGTCCTTCAAAACCCTAAAGATACTACCAAAGCACTTCTCAGGATTATCTTGGCCTGGATATCCACTAACCAAACCCTCAGAGAGGAACATCCAAATGACCCCAATTAAGTTTATGTAACTCACGCAGACTGAGAAGACGGTGCTCCTGTTTCAGGCCTTTCAGTTCCTCCGAAACAAACGTCTTCATCTGCTTGATGTCCATCCCACGCCGTTTCTATTGTAAGTGCAGACAATGTGTGAACAAGACAAAACTGACTGTTGTTTTTTGTAAAAATTTAGGTTCCCATTGGATTTAGGTTCCCAGCAAACATGGCCCAAAAAAAGGGCCCAAATCCTACATTTATCCCCACACCACCACGAACCCCCCCCAAACCTGACCCCCCCAACCCCACAAAAAAAATCACAACTCACTAACATTTTCCAACCTATTCTTCCCTTTATAATTAAAGGCTATTTTTGTTACTGTGCTTTTAAGACTGACATATGTAAATGAGCTCTGTTCCGGTTGGTTACCATATATTGCACTTTGTTCAAAAAGCGGCTGAAACACTCCATATAACTTCAGCATCAATGGGCAGCGCTGTTTGCTGAACAGGTGAATATGTGTAAATATGCTGGCATCACTAAAACAGTGGATTCAAAACAGGCTTAGACCAGTTTACACCTGGAAGTCAAATGTGTCTTCAGTTAATTGGACTGAAATCTGATTGCTGTGTGGGACGGAACATGCAAATCTGCTCGTTACACGGCAACCAATTACCAATTGTTTATCTGTTTAGCCTCTTTGTCTGCAATTTGTTTTGCACAGTAGTGTCTGTCCATGCTGCTGTTAAGAATTTCGTTTCATCTGGTCCCCAAACATGTGTGTCCTCCACGATTATCTTTCTTGCAGACATGGATCACGTGCCCAGTAACGAACTGCATGGGGAGGAGTTACGGGAGTGTTTTGGTTGTCAAAAGTGTCTTGGAGAGACAGATGTGTTTACACTACTATAACATTTGGCTTAAATGCATCTCAGACCACTTCCTATCTGTTTTAAAAGCATCCTGGTGCGTTTACACTTGCATTTTTATGTGGCTTGGTCTTATCTGATTTAATCCTGATACTTGAGATGCAAAGGTGTAAATGGGGTCTTAAGTTTCCATATATGGACGGTATAGAATTGGGAGTGAATGATACGTTTTAACACTTCAATGTTTACATACTACATCAAACTCCTTAATGCTTTTTCATGATATGGGTCCCTTAAAATTCTCAAAATTATGAAAGACTCACATCATATGCTGTTTGAAGATTTCGGGCCTTCTGACTCAAAAAGCCAAACACGTTGGAGAAGTGCTCATTCCTGATTTCATTGAACACCTGAAGAAGCAAAACAATCACTTAACACAGTCACAAATAAGCGCAGCTATGGGAACTGTATCTCTGCATTTATTTCTCTACAATGTACCTTATCTTGAGAGTTAAGCATCACTTTTATACTCTTGTCAGAGGAGGTGACTTCAGGTCCAAACTCTACACTACCTGTTAAAAAAGGCACAGCGATTCAAATGTGAAGTTAGTATATTTTTCTCTGTCACTGTACAAGTAGACTCATAATACACACAAATGGGAAATTCTCATAGTTAGGCATCATAAGAAACAAATAAACTTGTTTTTATTACTATTACTGATAAAAATTACTGTTAAAAATAAAGGCATAAAAATTACAATACAGCATAAAAATGCAAAAATAAGCTTGTTTAGAAATTTAACCTTTTTCACAGATGTATAGGTGTATGCAAAAGTTTGAACAGCCCCAGTCAAATTATGCATTTTGTTGTTTGCTGAGTTTAACGTATTGTAAAAACAAAAATTATAAAATGTGCCATAACTTTTGCACAGGCCACGTTTATGTTTTATTTGTTCCTCAATATGTTAAATTCAGCAAATAAATAGTGTGCATTAAAATGTGCAGAAGTGTGGTCTCTGAAGAAGAGTTGTTAACTTAATTTCACTTATAAAAAAAAAGTAATTTCACTGGGATGCACAAAATTTTGCATATGACTGTAAAACTTCTCACTCTCTTACAAAGGTCTCTCATTATTCGTCTTTTGTGAACCCCCTGCTGATTATAAAAAATAGGCGTCTTGCTGCATCTTATCAGAGTGAAGTGGGAGGGGAGAAGGAGGGGCTTATGCTGTGGACACACCCACATCTAAATGACAGGACATTTTTACTGAAGTGCAGTTTTAGGTGCTTATGTTATTAGATGGTGACAAGGCAGACACTGAAAAAGCTCCGTTAAGGAACTTTTATTTTTCGTCAAACCGTATGTACAATATAATTCGAGCTCTATATAATTATGACAGTTTCAACACATAAAATACTGGGAATCAAACTAAATATTGCGCACAGATTTGAAAGTATATCACCTCTTACCACATTTAATCCTGAAAATGTCATCCACCAGTCCCTCATAGACAACCTGAGAGCACAGTGGAGTAACAAAGTCCACATCTGTAAATTTAAGAACAGAGCCCCAAATTAGACTGGACATCACATTCTTCATGCAAAAACCTTGTATTTCCATTTTTGTTTTTCATTTTTACCCTTTGCATTGTGTTAAAACGATATGACGAACAGACCAATAGAAAAGGTCCAGAATTACTTTAACTTTGATTGCAAGTTTTTTTCCCTTCTCCTGTAAAGTTACTATTTTGTTCCACCAACAACAACATATAAAATAACAGGACACCATGCCACTAAATTACATTGAGTAAATACTAGTAAAAAGAAATATTTAAATGTGACTTTGACCTCTGTCGATGAGGAAAACGTTTCCAATCTCAGGCTGCTGTGCTTTCTGCTCTCCATCCTTCACTTGATCCCTCCATGACTCATACACCATCTGCAACAAGAACAGTACTAACTTCTTAGATTAGTTGGGGCCAAAGCTAAGTTACACAAACCAAAAACAAAAACGAGATTTTAGTTATTTCTTTGGCCTTGTAATCTCACCTTGGCACATCGTCCAATCCCATTCACCTTTGAGAAGGGCCCGTATAAGGAGTATACCAGACGTAATGCACTTCCAGCTGTGGTCACCCAGCGCTGATCTCCCTCCTGATGATTTTAGAGTTGTTAATCGAGGCAAATAATAAAAAAAAATACATAGTTAAAAAAAAACAAGAAGAAAAAAACAAGAAGAAAAATTCCAACAATAATATAGTATCAGGGAGAAAGATCCTTACTATGAAAATGTACTTGTTTGTTGATTAGCATTTATATTTACTTTGTCTTATATTTACTTTTCTTACAGTTTTATGCAAAGGTTTGAGCAGACCCTGGAGAAATGCTTCTTAGATTTAAGGGTGTGCAGTATGGGAAAACTATAATATCACAATATATGACAACGTTTTCATGCTATGTACCACAATGTTAGTTTTTTCTGAAGTTTGTTGGCAAATTGGGACATGATTTTTATTCAGTGTTTCACATACTGCACTAAATCTATTTAAACAGGGCTAATTATGCTCCTCTTGTAATCACACACGCAGCTGGTCAGTGTTCTTTAAGTACTGACAATACCTGCAATATGCTCAGTAAAATTATATCAGCATATTACAATAAAATTATCACAATAAAATGGCATCATATTGCCTGCCCTGAACAATATTCAACAAAACTAAGCTAGCACTAAATCTCCCAGTGGGTAGCTTTAAATTACGAATGAAATCGTTTCATCAGCTTTCAGTTAGTACATTTTCACTCGAATGCACACATCAGTGAAATATTACCAGGAAATTATCTCTGAAGAATTCAGGCAGTTCTAGGCTTATGATGTCATCGTCAAGAGGAAGGAGATAGAAAGCCCACTCATCTGTTGTCACATCTGCCGAAAAGGTCAAGCAGTGTCCATTAAAGTTCCTGTGAGTTCAATAACTCTGAGATTTTACGTGAAAATTGAAAGCACCTACCACCATAGACCCCCTGCTCCTCCAAAACTGTCTCACATGCATAGAACTGCAAGGAATGCCAAACAAGACATGTTAGGCAAGAAATGTTAATTCAGATTTATAGTTTTATATGTTTAATTTCATGCATACACTGTCCAAGAGTTTGTAGATACCCTTCTAATTGGTGACTTAAGCAACTTTAGGGTGCACCCACTGTTACAGACAAACAGCTTATATAATCTCCATAGAAAAGCATTGTTTAGTGGAATGGGATGCTCTTGAGAAGCGACACATGAGTCTAAGACCACCATGCTCAGTGGTAAGCTTCAGCTAAAGGGCTGTAAAAAATTGCATTGGGCTGTGGAGCAGGGGAACTGTGTTCTCTGGAGTGATGGAGCTCCAGTACCTTTGGGATGAGTTGGGGTGATCTAGAACTGACCATCCAACATAAGTACCTGACCTCACTAATGCTCTTGTGGCTGAAGGCAATCAAATCCTCACAGCAATGTTCAACATCTAGGGTAAAGCCTTCCCAAAAGAGTAGAGGCTGTTACTGCAGCAAAGGGGGACAAACCCTCTACTAATACCCTCTACCTTCATTTCAGAAGAAATGCTGGAGGAGCGGGTGTCTACAAACTTTTAGACATGTAGTGTACATTGACATCTGTCCAAATAATTGCAGGAACATTGAAATAACTTTTTAGCCAACTCAATGAACAACAAATACACTGTGTTGTATGAAAACATCATATATCCTAAGCAGTATAGGAAAAATATAAAAAGAAAAAACAACATTCTTAACCTCCCTTCATGTGAAAAAACACACTTTATAGGAAAAATTGCTGTTCAAATTTCTAAGTCCATTTGTCATGAAAAATGATGCGCGAAAAAAATATTTATCAGTAAAAGCAATACTGTAAATGCTGTTATAAGGGTTTCTTATGAAAGTGACAATATCAGTATTTGGTACAAATACTGACTAAAGGCATTCTAATGCATTATAACCAAGCAATCTAATCAATAATAGCTTACCTTCTGAGGGGTAAATATGATCTTATATCTTCTGAATCTTCCAGACGCCTTGTCCAAGTTAACTATTTCTGCAAACATTGGCAAAATGTTCATTGTTTCTTGGTGTCCATTGACAGCTGTCACCTTATTCTGACCTCAGATTATGTGTTATTTGGAATGTAGAGCTAACCTGCAATCCATTTCACAATCTGTATTCGAGGACGTATCAAGAAGCACAGCCTATAAAATGGAAGTATATAATGAAGCAGGTTTGCTGAAAACGCCATACACTTTAATGCATGGTGGCAAAAACATACTTACTGATCTGATGTACTGACAATAGGTTTGAGCTCAACTTTGTACAGTTTGTCCACTTCATGTTGCTGTATAAAACATAAAGACAACTGTGAACCATCATGCTGAATGTTTTCATTTATTTTCTAATGTGATATTATAAAAAAAATAAAATTACCAAAATGTTTAGTGTTTAAAATGTTTCAATTTTAAAGTATTCCTACCTTGAGTGTGGTCACATTAGCTATTCGGTCCAGAGGGCTCATCAAATCTGCATCAATAAACAAGTCCTTCTTTCCTGGCAGCTAAGAGGACAAAATATAAACAAAACAAACTTTTTACAACACCTGATAATGTGCAGATTACCAGCTTGAGGCACTTTGGGTATAGAGAGTGTCATACTTGTTCCAGCAGGTAGATGAGCTGGTCTCTGGCCAGTCTTTTAAGGAGGGAGAAGTCTGGAAGTTCAGGAGCATCTCTCCTGCCAGTGTGCGCCATGTGGGACTCTGCAGAGTAGCACCACAACTGTGCTTCTGTTTATATATAAAAATAAAAACAAAAAGAAAAACACTATTAACTTTGAGATGAGTTGAATCAGTGTAGATGGCACTGTTCGCAGATTGTTTAATATATGCAACATGTTCTTTATTTGTACTTCATTTTCTTCATACTCAGAGGTAGTAACTAGTTACATTTACTCAGATATATATAAAAATTGATACATTAGAACTTGCCTGGTTATTTTCAAATGATAATACTTTTACTTGCACTCTGGTCCTGGTTGTAGACATTGTTATAGATTCACTGTCACTGCGCATGTATTTATAATTTTATAATTGCATTCATTCTGTAACAACATATATTCTTATTTATTTAGTATTTTTTAGCATATTTATGTGTATATAATTATCTGTATATTGTTTTCTTCTTTTTTGCATTTCAATGTTTAGATCTCCTTGACATATTCTATATACGACAAATAAAAACACTGACTTTGATTTCAAGTGCATTTGTGAGGAAAGGAATCTATTTTACTCTGGTACATTTTAGTATTTAACATTTAGTTACTAATCCCTTTATAACTAATTCCTTTTTTTTTTTATTTGTTTGTTTAGTCTTGTTACTGATATCATCTGTGCTGTTTTGTGACTGACCACTCATCTGATTTTTGAGGTTTATCATGTTAAGCTAGTTTGTTTGGAGTTCATTTAAAAGATCAAACATCGGTACCAACACTTAAAAAAGGCTGGACATACTAAGAAGTTTCATTACAGTTCTACAAATTACTCTTTTACTTTTTTGACCTGGTACTTTTGTACCAGCTGTTTTTAGGAAAAAGTACTTTAGATTTCACTCAAGTCATTATTTCACAGAAGTAACAATACTTTTACGTGAGTATGGATTTGGGTTACTCTTAAGTTGTAGTTTTAAAAGGGAGACATTTCAACGAAGTTGGGTCTGACCAGGCGTCGCAAAAAACTACAACTCCCATGACGTATTGCGAAGCTAGCTGTCAACACGACAGCCAGAGAACAGAGAGTAGATAGTATAATACTCTGCTCTTCTGCAGAAAACAGCATTACACAGACAACACACCCAGTACAGTAAGCGTTTATATGCAGGCTGTATTTGTAGCATGTGGTGATTAGTTTTTCGCCTGTTTGACAGCAGATTAATGCCCCCGAGCTACACTAACCTACGGTTTTCATGCTAAAAAATAGCATCAGGATCTCTCACAGCATTTTGAGCAGTGGTCATTACTTCAAGGTAGATTAAAAACGAACGAAACCTAAAAACAAATATTATTTCATGAAACTACAGCTAAAGAAACACGCTAACCGCTCAGCACAAGCTAATTTACTGACAGATGGAATTCAGACACTGGATAATTTATAATTACACACCATTTGGCAGAGCATCAATTTGAGAAACCTTATATGTATGTAATTATAACCCAAACTATCTGGAGCCCTCAACACACACTGGACTGAAATGATAAAATCATTAACGCTAACATTTATTTACACCAGATGCGAACCTCACCTCCTCGCCCACTACGCGTACGGAAGAAACGGGAATCAAAAGCATGCGTTTCTCTACGGACCCGTTACAGGAGCGCACACCTCAGAGGACGAACAGCGACGCCTTGCTGACGACGAGTCCGAGTTAAACTGTCAAATAAGTCACGTAAAGATTTATTTAACTTAATACATGAGTATAACGTCTGTATAAAGGTGGGTGATTATCGGAAAGATATAGCAGCGCTTATTATCGTCTTTGTTTAGAGGTTCGGTCACTATAAGCGACACATTTAGCGTTAGATGGCTGCTGTGTAGTGAAACCACAGACTGTAATCACTGAGTGATGAAACCCTTAAAGCGTTTCAATGTGTGTTTTACTTATTAACTAAAGCTAAACTACTGATATTTTCACTGTTATTCTTCTCAGTATTGTTATAATGGGATGTTGAGTATGACAGATGAAAGCTGGGTCTAAAAAACACATACTACACTAATGAATGGCCTTCTATTGGTGGTGTACTATTTAGTGTGGTTGTGTGCGTTTTGGGACGCTACCAACCTGTAGGTCTGTAAACTGCTGTGTTTCCTGATTATCTTTTTTTTTTTTAATCCAATAAAAGAAACGCAAGCAGCTCTTTCTGATGGGACTGTGGCTAAAAGAGACTGGGGTCCTACTATGGGGACTCTTATTTTAGCAAAGAAATTGATTTGTGTAGGGATGCACGATAATATCAAAATCATATTGGCATTGGCAGATAATGGCAAAAATATACATAAGCACTGGAGAGATGTTTAGACCAGAACACTTAGACGTTCGCTGTAAGTTATACAACTCCACAAATCAATTATATATTTTTCTGTAAGGCTGATCCAGGTGGGTCCTTACACAAATTATATCCTTTATAGATGCTCATATTTTTACATCCCGTATTGGCATCGACAGATATGCAAACAGAAAAGGACATCAACATCAGCCCACGCATGCCGTATCGGTGCATCCCTAGATTTATTATATAATCCAATGAAAACTTGTGACATGTAGATATCCAGTCTTTTTCAGCAGTAGTAATATACCTCACAGTTACGTTCATAGATAGCTAAACATCATATTGTACAGCATCTAAACTGAATAGTTTAATAAAAATGGCTAATGTAGGTTTTGTTACAGTAAAGGATTAATCAGCATTAATGTTCTTTGTGTTCCTTGCATTTAGCGATGAGTTCAGATGCAGTGATCCTATTAGAAACCATAAACTTCGCTGCAGAGAAGCATCGAAACCAACGTCGGAAAGACCCAGAGGCAACTCCATACATCAACCACCCCATAGGTAACTTACACGGTCCCTAAAGGAACTTTTCAGGTTATCTCAAAATATCTGAATTGTTACATTTCCTTTGGTTCATATGTTCTCTGAGTTTTCTTGAGCATACATCTGAAGAAATGTTTCATAATTGATCAAATCATAGGGCTAAAAGTGTTTTTATCGGTATTTTAGTCTAGTAATTAGTCTTTTGACCATATTGAACAAAATAATAGCGAATCCAAATTTGATTGTGAACAAAAGTATGCCAATTACAAAAAAAAAATCGAATGGGTACTGCTCACAGGATAATGTCCATCCAAAGAATAACTACACATCACTTTTAATCAGAAGACGTTTTGTGACATTTGTTCTTATCATACCACTTTTAGTTGTTGGATCGAAGATAATATTCACTTTATTATGATATTAAGTTATAATGAGTTTGGCAAACTCATGACAGCTCAGTCCTTCTGTTGGATTTGTAAACAGTTTAATGTGTTCACTTCTCACAGGGGTGGCAAGGATCTTGAGTCATGAGGGTGGAATTACAGATATTGAGGTTTTACAGGTGAGTCTTAAACATTTCAAATGAATTTATTCCTTGTAAATGAATTCTAATAGTTAAAAGGAAACTAACTGACCTAAATACAAATAACTAGTACATTAGCTAATGTTGTGTTAAAAGCACATGTCAAAGGAAGACTAAGTGCTCTGTCTTCTGTAATTCAGGCAGCGTTGCTTCACGACACTGTAGAAGACACAGACACAACTGTTGAAGAGTTAGAGGCTGTGTTTGGAAGCACTGTATCCAGGATTGTTCAGGAAGTGACAGATGACAAAACACTGCCTAAACAAGAAAGAAAACGCCTGCAAGTGGAGCACGCGCCTCACTGCAGCCACCAGGCCAAACTGGTCAAACTGGCTGACAAGTTGTATAATTTACGAGACCTTAATCGCTGCACGCCCGCAGGTATGTTGCGCTCTTTGGCCGTTGAGAATTGTGTGATAACGTCCAGCCAGCAACCTGAATGGCTAAAACTGTTGCCTTTGTGTGCTGACAGGTTGGTCTGCAGAACGTGTTCAGGAATACTTTATATGGGCAGCCCAAGTAGTAAAAGGACTTCGTGGAACCAACTCTGCACTTGAGGAAAAGCTACAGCTGCTCTTCAGTGAGAGAGGCGTGGAGATGTAATGCTAATAAAGGACTACCTCACATAGTGCCGTCTTAGACTGCTGTAACCAGTCGTGGATTGGTTTCTCATTATGAAAAAAATGTTCTCTGTTTTCCTTCTTCCCAAAATATTTATGTGTCAGACTAAGCACTTTCATCGACTGTACTGTTCTGATTAATAAAGATGACATATGATTGAGTCTCTATGTTATTGTCCACATACAGGTCAACCACAAGGAAAAAAAAGTCATTCATAAAGTGGATTAAAACCATTTTAGTCACAGTACTGCTACACATTACAATGAATAACAATGCTCTTCTGCCTTATATGGGTCATTTTTTTATTTAGACTGTGATTTGATACATATATACATACACAACAGGATTGAAAAATGTTTTGGATTATTTTCACAATACATCTAAGTAACTTGTACACTTTTCAGAAAGAACTAATTTTGTTGCATTATTTTTTTGATATATATATATATATATATATATATACAAACAGGCAGTTGCGGCTGTTAAGGGTACAAAGATGGTTCTTTAATGGTTCTTTGTAGAACCATGAACACTCAAAGAACCCTTTGCATGATTGTTCTTTACATGGCAAACCTTCAGATTGTTGGCAAATGTGTTATACATGGTTCTATAGAGAAACTTATACAACATATATAGGGTTCTTATGATTCCAAGCTTTTTACAATGGAAGAACCTTTATTGATGCCCTTTTCAAAAAGGTTCTATATAGAACCATCTACAACAAATTCTCCATCAATCTGAAGAACCTTTGACAATACAAAGAATCCACTGATCATGCAGAGGGTTCTTTGAGTGTTCATGGTCCTATATAGAACCATTTTCTGTACTAAAGAACCCTCGAAGAACCATCTTTTTTAAGTGTTTAGAAACTGGAACATGTGTTGCAAGAATGCAGTCAATACCCAAGAGAGCAGGGTTAAGAAGTGGATTTAGAAATTGATTAGTTTAATCTACTGAGTCTTTTGCGTGGAGATAAGACAGTGTTGCAGCACTTTTTTAAAGGGCCCATGACCTACTTTTTTTTTATTTTTTTTCAAACAAGAGTGAGCAGCGTGCATTTTCGAGAAAATTCAATAAAAATGCACCAACTGGAAAGCAGATTTGGATGTGGCACAAAAAATTCAAAGAGGAAGGCTGTCTGTGCAGGACAAAGGGATCTGGATGACCACCAGTATCGGAAGATATTACATTTGTGAAGCTTTGTGATTTTTTTTTTTTTTAATAAAATCTACATCCCTCCGAATTTCTTGTTCGAATTTTGATAAGTAAATCTTGTATTGTTCAATATGAAGTCTATTTAACTTTGTTTGCCTCAGACATGTAGTTGCTCAGATATTCACATCTCAAATGATGTCATTTTTTTTTGGGACACCCTGTATTATAATAAGCTTCCTCAAGGAGAGCTTTGGAAATGGTTAAATCAACGCATACGTGAATCACTTCTTATTGTCTTAATGTTATTTGTATTTACAATATTATAATAATAGTGTTTTCCTAACGTTCTCAGGTGTCTTAAACTTTTGCACAGTACTGTATGTCAAAGACTTCTGCTCTGATTGGCTGCTCTGTGTTGTGCCTCATTCAGAAAGCAGCCCGAGCTGAAACACCCCTTATAACTTCAGTGCAAACGAGTGGAGCAGAACTGCCGTTGGCTGAATAGACTTCATATGTAAATGTATTGGTTTCTTTGACATCACAAAAACAGTTCATTCAAAAAGGGCTGTGTGTGCAGATCACATATGTGGATTGTATGGACTGGAGACTGAACTGTACGTTCAAACAATATGTTTACATCAAACAGAAAATTAGGCTTTCCATGAAATGGGATCTTTATTTACAGGGATGCTGGCAAGGATAGAAGGGATGAATAGGTCAGCGAGGTCTTTATCTGTACTCCAGTCCAGTGGGCAGCGGTCATACATCCTACAAGTCAATGAACACACACAGAAGAAGAAAGACGCCGAGGGTAGGAACGACACAGCTGCGTTGTCGTTTCCAGAGGGACGACGTACCAGGTGCTCTCTGAGCGGAGGGCAGTAAACAAGAAACGCAGCGCGGATTAAACCGATTAATTTATTATTATTATTATCATTTAATTTACGGATCCACTTCGACTGTCCAACATGTCTGGACAAAACGCTCTAAATGCCAAGCAGCCGCCGATCCAGTCCACGGCAGGAGCTGTGCCGATCCTAAATGAGAAAGGTAGCGAACACGCTAAAGCGGCTACAGGCAGCGTTAGCAGCGAAGCTAACGGAGATTATTTACTCAAACCTGTCCACAAAACTCTCCGTCATGTTAAAAGTCTTTAATACGCTGTAAAAGACAAGCTGTGTGATAATAAGACTGTGTTAGTTTAGTGGTGTGTAGTGTTATAATTCGCTCTAGTTTAGCTTTGGTCTGCGAGTTCATGTGTTGGTTTGTGTTACAGTGAGCTGATGTGGATTAAGTTAAATTTTCCGAGTGTCTGTTTTATTAAACTCCTTTTCCTCGCTAACATTAGATGTCCTGATGTTCGCAAACCACCAGATTTGATGATGAGATTCGGCTTTAGTTATTGTAGCATCTTCTACTTCCAAAACGCACTTTGTCATATCATCTTCGTCTTCATAACTTTCATATTTCATAAGCTACATTCAGAAGGTGGGGGTCATATGAGAACTGTAACTGTCTTCTCTCCAGTCAAATAGATGGGTGATGTAGTTTTAAACCCTTATAATAAAAGAAGCTGAACTCAGTTTTTTTTTGTCTACTGAAAGTCGACCCATTTTTCCACAAATCTGGGCTATAAACTATAAACAGATGGCGTCTCTTCAGTGATCTGCTTTGTAAAAATTATTTTTATAAAATAATACAAAGAGCGTCTAAGATTTTTGGCTTTCAGCAGTAAATTGTAAGCATATAGCAATATGTGTGATCATAAAACACATGTTCTGTTAATTTGAGGGGAGCTTTAAAAAAAAAAATAAATAAATAAATCAAATAAAAATTTGCATTTATTTCATGCAGTTACTGAATAATTTGCCTTACAAGTCGGTCATGTAAATTCAGATGAAAAAATCAAAATATACCATGGAGCATAAGAGGTTAAGTATGTTCTATGTATTCATTCCTGAAAGATGATCAGTTTAAGCAGTATTGGTTATGGTAATGAAGTGGAATTTTAAACTGTTAGCTAAATTATATACGCATTTAAAATGGTTCTTCACGGATTATTTTGTAAAGGCAATGGTTCTGTTTAGAGCCATGAGTTCTATATAGAACCGTTTCATGCTTAAATGGTTATTTGCATGGTGAAATGGTTCTTCAGATTAATGGAGAATGTGTGTATATGGTTGTATATAGAACCTTTATGAAAATAGTACCAAAATGGTTTTTCTGTTGGTACAAGCTTGCAATCATAATAATAGCAGAACCATTTTTGGTGCCTAATAGAACCATTGCCGAAAGGAAAAATCATATACAACACCTCCATCAATCTGAAGAACCATTTCACCATGCAAAGAATCATTCAAGCATGAAATGGTTCTATATATAACTTGTGGTTCTAAATAGAACCATTGCCCTTTACCAAAGAACTTTTGAAGAACCATCTTTTTTAAACTGTGTACTTAAAGTGGAATTGGGTGCAAGTTAACATAAAAGGATTGCAAGGTTTCACTGGCTGAGTTTGTGTGCTTTGAGCTGGTTGTGTGTACAATGTAAAGAAAAGTTTACATATGTATAGTATTTATGATATACAATATAATATATAATTGTAAGGGATGCACAATATCAGCATCATATTAATATGTGCAGATATTTGCTTAAAAAATAATCAGTATCAGACAGATGTTTAGACCTGACTGATATTAAATATTTCTCATAATCCAGAACAGTGGATTGTTTAAGTGATGCCGGAGGGCTAAATGCTAAAATGTTATTGATATTATTAAATGTGTAACCATATTTAAAAAAAGAAATATACCTTTTCCGTAATCATATTCCAGGTGGATTTTGTTGGTTTGAATATTTTGTAAAGATTGATGTATCGGCATCAGCAGATATGCACATAAGAAAAAGTACCCATATTGCTGCATGTCTAAAAATTATTATTTTTTTCCTCTACATTCCTACAGGTGAAGTTTCTATGGAAAAGGTGAAGGTGAAGCGATATGTGTCAGGAAAGCGTCCAGATTATGCTCCGATGGAGTCCTCGGATGAGGAGGAAGAGGATTTCCAGTTTGTCAAGAAAGGCAAGGAGGCTGAACCGGAGATGGAAATGGAAGAAGAGGATGTATCAGATCCTCGTCTTCGACGTCTTCTGAACCGTGTGTCGGAAGATGTTGAAGAAAGGTATCTTTGACATTGGTGTTTTTTCTTTGTCTTCTTCAGTTGTAACCATTCCATTTCTATTCAGTTGTAACTGGACACAATATGTCAAGTGTGCTCTTTGTTTTTTCCCCTAAGACTTGCGAGACACAGACAAATAGCTGAACCAGAGCTGATTGTTGAGAGCAGTGAGGATTCAGATGAGGGAACCTGGCACCCTGAGCGGGAGGAGAGCAGTGAAGACGAGGAAGAAGAGGAGGAGGTGGATGATGAGGTGGGTCGTCAATTCGATTAATGTTAAAGGGCCCATGTCCATGGTCTTTTTTCCCCTGTAATCCACTTACGACATTTTTTTGTGGTTTTATGCACCAAAAACAGTCATAGTTCATTTTTGCATGACCATTTTCCAACCTCTCTTTACCATTTTGAAACTAACAATGTTTACATACTGCATTAAAAAAAAAAAAAAGGGAAACTTGATGGAAAACATGATATGGGCTCTTTAATGTCATATTTAAGTGACATCTTGTTGCCAGTATGTGCTCTGGATATTTAATGTCTCACTGTTACAAATATGGATGCCAAAATATCTTTGCAGGAAATTGAGAGGCGACGAGCGATGATGCGGCAGCGAGCCCAGGAAAGGAAGAACGAGGAGATGGAGATCATGGAGGTGGAGGAAGAGGGGAAGTCTGGAGAAGAATCAGAATCCGAGTCAGAGTATGAGGAATATACAGATAGTGAGGATGAAACTGAACCGCGGTTAAAGCCTGTTTTTATCCGCAAGTGAGTAGCCCATCTGTCATCATATATCACAAGGCAGCGTCTTCTCTTGTTGTATGTTACTTTACACCGATCAGGCGTAACATTATGACCACCTCCTTGTTTCTACACTCATTGTCCATTTTATCAGCTCCACTTACTATATAGGTGCACTTTGTAGTTCTACAGTTACAGACTGTAGTCCATCTGTTTCTCTGCATACTTTGTTAGCCCCCTTTTACCCTGTTCTTCAGTGGTCAGGACCCCCATGGACCCTCACAGAGCAGGTACTATTTGGTGGTGGATCATTCTCAGCACTTCAGTAACACTGACGTGGTGGTGGTGTGATGGTGTGTGTTGTGCTGGTACGAGTGGATCAGACACAGCAGTGCTGCTGCAGTTTTTAAACACTGTGTCCACTCACTGTCCACTCTATTAGACACTCCTACCTTGTCAGTCCACCTTGTAGATGTAAAGTCAGAGACGATAGCTCATCTGCTGCTGCACAGTTTGTGTTGGTCATCCTGTAGTCCTTCATCAGTGGTCACAGGACGCTGCCCACAGGACACTGTTGGTTGGATATTTTTGGTTGGTGGGCTATTCTCAGTCCAGCAGTGACACTGAGGTGTTTAAAACTCCAGCAGCACTGCTGTGTCTGATCCACTCAGACCAGCACAACACCACCACCACGTCAGTGTTACTGCAGTGCTGAGAATGATCCACCACCCAAATAGTACCTGCTCTGTGAGGGTCCAATGTTATGCCTGGTCATAATGTTATCTATTTTTTCTTTCTTTGTTTGTTTTAAATGAGTTGTCTTTCTATCACGTCTCTAACAAGTGTTACTTCCCTGTCAGGAAGGACAGGGTGACTGTGGCCGAACGTGAAGCGGAGGAGCAGAGGCAGAAAGAGCTGGAAGTTGAGGCCAAGAAACAAGCTGAGGAAAGACGTCGTTACACACTCAAGATTGTAGAGGAAGAGGCCAAGAAGGAGTTTGAAGAGAACAGACGCACTCTGGCTGCTCTGGAGGCACTGGACACAGACGGGGAAAACGAGGAAGAAGAGTACGAAGCCTGGAAGGTTCGAGAGCTGAAGCGAATCAAGAGGGACAGGGAGGCTCGTGAAGCGTAAGTGCTTGTCCTTTGTGTTCATAATGAATGTCATTAGTGTTGGCTTTGTCCAGTGTAGGGGTCACCAATCTTATCTATAAAAACTGTGGCTGCAGGTTTTTAATACATAATTGGTTGCACTTTAATTTACATTTAACATGTTTAATCAGTTGGTCTCCGTCTTTAACCGGTTTATTAGTTACATGAGATGTGCTCCTGCTTGGTTTGAATGAAAACCTGCAGCCACACTGGCCCTTTGTGAATGAGATTAGTGACCCCTGCCCCAGAACAGTGGCTCACTGGCTTGTTTACATGACCATCACTTGTATGATCTCTAGATTCGAGAAGGAGAAAGCTGAGATTGAGAGATTCCACAGTCTCACGGAGGAGGAGCGTAGAGCTGAACTTCGCAACAGTGGAAAACTTGTTACCAACAAAGGAACCAAGGGCAAATACAAGTTCCTGCAAAAGTACTACCACAGAGGAGCTTTCTTCATGGTGAGTGAAGCTTAATCAGCAAGGCAGGCTTTTCATTATACTTATACTTATCCTGACATGATCACTGCTAAACTTTTTTATGACTGTTTCTTTGGTAGGATGAAGAGCAAGATTTGTACAAGAGAGACTTCAGCGCTCCAACCCTTGATGACCACTTCAACAAAACTATTCTGCCTAAAGTTATGCAGGTTGGTTTGGGTTTATTTTTCAGTTACACATCTGTTAGTCTGAATATGATATGGTGTTTCACTGGGCCAACAAAAACTACCCCAGTTCAAGTCAGAGCTGTCAGTGAGTCTTAGCTGTTTTTATTTGGCACTTAGATTAAGTCTTTATATTAGGTCTGACTGTACATTCTAGTTGTTTGAAAACATGGTTTCTACATCAGTAAAAGTAATTAGTAACAACCAAATAAAGGTTATTTGGGTGTATTACGTAACTAATAATAATAATAATAATTCAAATTGCCCTAATAGGTTACAGCTGATAACATCGTTCACATTTAACCAAGCTTTAATCACTGATGTGTGCTTTTATAGTCAGTGTGAGATTCACACAATTCTAAATCAAGATACAAGAGCTTGTTATCACAGCAAAACCATTCAAACCAGTAATTTCTTTTGAATAAGTTTCCTGATGTGGTTCTGTGCTGAATGAGGCTTCGTATGCCACTGATCATGTTTTTGGGGAAGTGAACTAAGCATCAATATAGTGCCTTATAGTGAAGCATGTTCAATACATACTCCAAGGGTAACCACACTAGCTGTTACCTTTGCTGTAACCTAATTGGAGGGAAGTATCTGAAGGGTGCCAGTGCAACAGTGCTAAGAGGACAGTGGGTCTTCTGTAACATCACTAAACCCTGGATACTCAATATCTCAATCCTGCCCTGAACAACTATAGTTAGGCCTAATTATTCTGTAACAGTGAATACATCTGCTTCCTTTCTATTTCATAATGTTTTCTTTAATCCAGGTCAAGAATTTTGGTCGTTCTGGACGCACCAAGTACACACATTTGGTGGACCAGGACACCACCTCCTTCGACTCGGCTTGGGCACAGGAAAGTGCACAGAACACCAAGTTCTTCAAACAGAAGGCAGGGGGCGTGAGAGATGTGTTTGAGCGTCCGACAGTGCAGAAGAGGAAGACATGAACACCTTTCTGAACATCTGTTATGTTCAGACGCAGCTAAAATAAGAACTGTCTCACATCTTTTTTCCTACATTCACGTATTTTTTTTTTTTGTTTGTACCACCGAGGCTGAAATTCCCAGTGTGGCAAAGAATCTTGGTTTATTGCATTTTAATTCTGTACATTTGATGGATTTCTTTACAGAAATTTGTATCCTTCTGATCAGCAATTTGTACAAATCTTACTGTTGTTATTGTTAATAAATTACTATGACAAGTAGAAATTATGTCCAAGATATCCCTTGGAGTAATTTAGCACACTGTACGTATAAAAAGGCATAATCAAAATTAAATTTGTACGTTGTTACAAAAGTTGCGAGGGGAGATGACTGAATTGCACTAGTGAACAGGCAAGATAGTTTATTACAGATGTTAAATACAGTAAAGTGTGGAATGGGTTCACTGCAGAAAAAGAGGCAGTCCAAGGTGTCCATGCTACTGGTCATAGTTGAGTCATGACAGTTCAGTTGGTCAGCGCAATCAGTGCCTCTACAACGTTGCCCATGTGTTCTCTCAAACTGCGCTCTGCCACCCCTCTGGGAATCTCCATCTCTCCCATCTGTTAAACGAAAACATCACTTAGTTTAACAGAGCCATGAAAACAGGACTGGCTTTGAAAACATATACAACTACACTTCATGCTTACAATGAGCTCTACGTCCTCCTTCTTGATTGTGACTTTGGCCAGTTCTTTTTCTCTGCAGAAAAGGTACAAACACATACAGTCAGACGTTATGGGATTAAACGGAATATAAAAGGCTAAAGAAAAGTCTCAAACGTGTCTCCTCACCTTTCCTGTTTTGCCTTCTGCTCTCTGGATCTCCTGTCTCCAATCACGGACATGGCCTTCAAATACACGGAAAAATTAGGCTAGCAAAACAAAGTCGACGACGCTTTAACAGAAAACTGCACAATGACGTGCTTGACCTCAACAGTTCGTTCAGTAACAATTTAGAACTGGGGTAAAACCAGGGGGCTAAGAAGTAGATATGGGCCACTTTTTGCCCCTTTTTCCTCCCACACTATCTATCTATCTATCTATCTATCTATATATATATATATATCTATATCTATCTATCTATCTATATATCTATATATATATATATATATATATATATATATATATATATATACACACACACACACATACACATGATGCAATGTTAAACTGGGTAAATATGTAAAAGTGCTTTTTTTTATAAACAATTAATTCAAAATGCACTGTTGTCTTAGCTTAGTACGTTTTGAAATGCATGCTACATCAAAATGTTTATACCGTTTATATTTTAAGAATATTTCCGTTTTCCATTGATAATAACCAAAATACCGATATATAAAAGTTTAGGACCCACATTTCCATCATAATACACAATATACTTTTAAAGTCCACTTGAAGTGCTCTTAAAAAATAAATAAATTATCCAAATCACATCAAACTAATTCAGAAATACATTAAAAATAAGTGAACTACACTTTCAACCTCAGTACTGCAGAAAACGTGTCAAATCAGTGTTTATTTTTTCAGACATTGCCGTCGTTTTACCGGGTAACCAGGATGTAAGACTGTATATGAGACCAGGCGGAGGTGATGGGAGCTGAAGTATCTCAGGCTATGGAAAATAGCCAGATAGCGACCTGGTTAGCTGAGCCAGAGCGAACGGAAAACACCCAGCAGCCGTAACTCGCCCCCCACTCCAGCAGATAGAACTGATGGAGTGTAAATAAAGACCATTACAGCTCGTCTCTGTGTTTAACTATTAAACCCACACGTTACGGTGCTGCTGATCTGACCCCCCTCCACATGGCTGGCTAACGCGGCTAGCGCGGCTACACAGAGAACAAGCCCAGCTCACCGTCTCCAGGTCCGAACTCGAGATTTCTTTCTCCTCTGCATAATCTGTGACTCTCTCTAAATCGGCAGCCCCGCTGTCGTGTTTGCGAGGTTTTTCTGTCGGTTTCCCGGTGCAGTTCTCCTCGGCCTCCAGGTCCAAATCCACATCTCCCTCAGCCGCCATGTCTGCGTCGATGTGCATCCGGAACGAAAGGAAGAGGAATGAAAAAGACCCGGGAGGAAGTTAAGGTGACACTCTTTTTGTCGCTTTTGTTTACTTCTCAAAATCACCTGTTATAGAGAACATCAGGCAGCCCTGCTCGTGACATCCAGACAAAAATAATGCGTGGCCATGATTTACTAAGGCATGGGAATGAGATAATTAAGTCGTGGCCACGACTTAGTAAGGCGTTGTAACCAGATCAGGCCTTATTAAGCTGTGGTCAAGGCTTAATTATCTCATTCTCATGCCTTACTAAGTCGTGGCCACGCGTTAGGATCTTGTTTCCACAATTTTATTATCTCATTCCCACACCTTACTAAGTGTGAACATTCCGTTTATTACTTTTGCAAAGTTCAACAATAACAACATAGTACAATGTGAACTAAAAAAACACAACTCCTTTTTTTTCCCTACACTCTTTACCATAAAGACCCATCCATGTCTCTCTGTTCCATTTAAAACAATATTATACAACAGTAATAATAAACACAGGTATAGATACAAATAGGAAATTGATAAAATACCTAAATGAATAGAAAATAAAATTGGCAGAACATGCAGACTAACTTTTTTATTTATAAAAAATAAATAAACAAAATTGCATTATTTTTATTCATATTGATGTCACCAGCAGGGCTCCGTGGGGGCAGGGAATCACACTGCAGTTTTAAATCTATGATGACCAGTCTAAAATTTGGGTTAGTGGTTTAGTGCAGGTAGTTCTGGCTTTGCATAGATGCTACCTGTTAATGGTTTTTTTTTTCAATCTTTTTTTGTGTGAAGGGGCTGCAGAATCCACTGAACACTTATTTTTCTTCTGTACAGAGCCCTGCTGGTAACATAAATGAAAATAATGGGCCACAACTTGGGAACGAGATAGTTAAGTCATGGCTATGACTTAGTTGGTGTGGGAATGAGATCATGCCTTATTAAGATGTGGTCAAAATGAGGTGAAACGTGGATTCATCTGATCACAGCACACATTTCCACCGTCTTTTGGACCATCTGAGACGAGTTTGGGCCCAGAGAACTCGGCGGCGTTTCTGCATATAACTTATGCATGCCTTTCTTGCATTTCTTGATGCAGTGGTCAGCTGTGTTAAGTCACAATGGTTTTTCAAAATACTCCCAAGCCCATGTGACTACATTTAACAAAGTAGCTTGACGGTCTTTTATGCAGTGCCATCTGAAGGCTCGAAGATCACGCATATTTAACAGTGCTTTCTGGCCTTGCCCTACACGGACTGAGATTTCTCCTTAGTCTCCTGTGTCTTTTCACAATATCATGTATGGTAGATGGTGAAAGGCCTAAATTCTTTGCAATCTTGCATTGAGAAATGTTCTTTTTGAACTTTTTGACAATTCTCTCGTTAAGTTTGGCACAAGTGGTGATCCATGACCCATCTTTGCTTGCTAATACTGAGCCTTTGGTGGATGCTCCTTTTATACCCAATCATGATAATCTCACCAGCACGTTACCAATTCATCTGTTTATTGTGGAATGTTTAGAAACAATGTAACTTGAATATTCCAGTTTATACTCATATTTTGCCTTGATCTAACTTTTTTGAGGGTGTTGCAGGCATCAAATTTGTTATTCATGGATTATGGGTTGTTATTTTTCGTCCTCACCACCAGATGGCAGCATTTCTTAGATGACTTGTATTTGGATGACACTGAGATGAAGAACCTAAGAGTATGGCATATTTAAAAGTGTATGTGTACATTTGATGTTGATATCAGTGTGTAGGACTGTCAAGACATGTATAATATATCTGATATTAATCTTAGCATATCAGTAATCATTCAAATTATTATAAGGTCAGACTGATTTCTTACTTGCTAAACGGAATTGTTATGTGTGAAAATGTATGTCTTACATGTAAGAATATACTCTAAGTTGTTTTAATCTTTTCAGTCCATTAAGCAACACAGATCTTTCTGTTCTTTATTTTTTACAGAAGATCCCAATAGTCATATCTAATGTGACACCAGCTTGTTGGCACATTATGTCAGTATATTTTCATTTTAATGTCGCAACTGATTTGCCTGTGTCAGAGAAATCTGTCGCTATATGTATGTTCCTGAGAAAATACACCATAGTTTGTGTTTAAACAGGAGCCATGAACCATTATTATTTTCTAGCTTTCAGGATAGGAAGGTCTTAAAGTATCCATCCACCTGGGTGTTCATATCTGTTTTAGCTGTTTTAGCTCTTAAAGTATCTCTTGAGGTCCACTTATGACATTTGTATGGTTTTATGTGCCAAAAATGGTCATAATTCATTTCTATCTGATCATATTCCAACCTCTCTTTATCCCTTAGAATTAAACAGGCTGTTTCTGTTACTATGCCTTTAAGACTGGCATATGTAAATGAGCTCTGTTCTGATTGGCTGCCCTGTCTCGTGCCTCAATTAAAAAGCACTCAGAGCTGAAACACTCTTTATAACTTCAGTGTAAGTGGGCGGGACTAAATTGCTGTGGGCTGAATATATGAAAGCTTTAGTGAAAGTTCTGCCAGGAAGACTCTAATGCTACATCATTCATTCATTCATTGATCGTGATCAATCACAGGCCTACACCTGTCTTTAAAATGACTCGACTTACGTACCTATTCTGCTGCGTTTGGGTGTCTACATTTTGATGTTCCCCTCCTTCCTCCCCACCACCACCACCAGTTGGGTCCCTGTCTGGTTGTCCGGGGGGTAGTCCGTCTCTATCCGGCAGGATCAGCAAGAGGCTTGGCGTTCCAAGACCCGGACTGAGGACTGTGCCAAAGACTCTTTAATTTAATTGTTATCTTTCAACTTGTAAAATTCCATTGTGGATTTACAACAATGTCCTCCTTCACTCTTGCGTCACAAAAACAGCGAATTCAAAACAGGCACTGCTTTTGCAGCTAAGTTTCCATATATCGTCTGTATAGACCAGAAAAAGAATGGTAAGTTTTGAAACTTTAGCAATGTTTACATATTACTTTATGTTACATATAGCTCCTTTATTAAAAAGATAAAAGGAAAATCAGTTGTCCATGACACAGGCCCCTTAAAGAGAAAGCAGAGACTCAGCTAAGTCATTTGCAGCTCAGATGATTTATTGTCACAGCAGAGGAAGCATCCACACCAGCAGTTTAGCAACTTCTCATTGTACATAGCATTCCATTCATTTTCACTTGACTTATTTGGGATGTGGGTGTATCACCAGTGTGTCAGAAACACCATCCATAGTTTTACCACACACACACATTTTCTAAGCGGCTTATCCTTCTGGGTCGCGGGGATAGTTTTACCATAACATATGAAACATAATCTTTTACAAAGCCTTTGTGTGAGTACTAGATAAAACATTTGTGATGGAAATTACATATTTTAAAGGAAAGAAATACAGCTTAAAAACCATATTAGGCACAGTTTGTAGATATCATAACTAGAAATTAATTTATATTCGGTTTGTAGAAATTTAATCACATACAAGACAGACAGCAACCAAAATCTGAAACAACATTAAAACATCTTTCACAAATATAATTTTCGAAGAAAAATAAAGAATCTCTGTCTATTCTCAGTTGATTGTGATGATGGTGATTTTATGCTTTAGTAAATGTGATCAGAGCATCACTTGATTGTATTTTGATTGCTAAAGCTGTTATTTTAAATGTAGGTCCTTCATTCTTCTAGTGTCGCCGTGGTACCCAGAGGCAGTCAGTCATTTGAGATGCACAGATATAACAGACATTAATCAACCTTCCATTTTGACTGTATGAGGTGCATCTAAAGACAGGCAAAAACTCCTCAATGGTAGTAAGAGCCTGTTGTAGCTCTGGAATCCGTGTCTCGTCTTTGTCATAAACTGTGTAGAACACAAAGGCCTTCCAATCTGCATTTATGTTTCTAAATAATAGCTTTTCTCTGAGGTTTTTTATAATGCTTTGTGCATTGTCTGGAGATGCACAGCGGTCCACACAAGGGGAGTAATTGGTAAAAAACAGCACACAGGTGTTTGGGTTCTGGGTCCTTTTCCGAATCTCATTATCATTATTAAAAAGGATCCAATGTTCAGCATGGAAATTGTCATCTGGCCTAGCTGCGATAATATCATCTGTGCCTATGATGCCACGCTCATCACTGGTCACAAAGAAGTTGTGGATTTGCTGAAGTTGTTTGTTAAGCTTAGTTACAAAAATGTTGTAGTTACCACATGCCTCTTCGGTCGTGGTGATGAGGAATGCATATTCACCATTTAAGGCGATGCTGGACATGAAAAATAAAAGCAGAGCAAAAATGACAGCAACTAAGGTGTTAAATAATTTTACAAATGGTAAATTGATGTTTGTAAATAATAAACATAAAAACAGACTATTAGGAATATTAATTTATATGCTTACGTGTCTCTCGTAAATTTAATTATTTGTGCCAGAACGTTTGGATCAATAGCATCTGCTCTGATGGTGAGCATGAAGACAAGGAGCAGACTTTTTATTCCGGCACACACCTGAAATGTGGTGAAAGAAAAACAATGTTGCTTTATAAAACTGAGGATCCCTTGATGTAGTTATGAGGTTAAAGAGTTTAACACCATCACCAGGACCGCAGTCATGCAGATACAAGAAAGTAGTACAATGTAAAACAAAAAATTGTCTAAAACAATATTGGCACTGCTGATGAGTACCAAGATTCAGCAACACTTGGGTTTTATTCGCTTAAACAAAACAGTCAAAGCGTGAGAGCAAAGAGAAACCTACCATGGCCACAGGAACAGTGGTTTGTGAAGATGTTGAGTGAGCTTTCAGCTGAAGACAGTGGTGAGCTGGAGGACGGTGGCAGGTTTTTAAAGGCTACTGAGATCAGACCCACCTACAAACTCATCTACCACATGACCATCACAAATAGGCTTAGAGATCAGTCTGTCACATGCAGTGTGATTAAGGGTTGGTTTACCTATGTAATTAGCTCCAGTTGGCATTTGCCCAAACACAGTAATTTAAGTCAAAAGTTTGAGCACCCTTTGGTAAGATTGCATGTTTTGTTGAGTGAAAATAAGTTAACACATCCTCTACAGAGAACATACTTTTGCACATTTTAATGCACAATTAATGTGTATTTGCTGAATTTAACATAATATCCTGAAAAAAATAAAACGTGGCCTGTGCATAAGTTATAACACATTTTTTTTCCCAATACATTAAACCCAGCAAATGGTGAACTAAAATGTGCCATATTTAAGTGTGTTCTCTGTAGAGGATGCGTTAACTTAGTTGCATTTAAAAAATCAACAAAACATGTGTTCTGACTGGAGGTGTTTAAACTTTTAAGATAAGATAAGATAAGATAAGATAAGATAAGATAATTAGAGAGTTACAGTTTGTTACTTGTTACTGTATAGACAATATATGTAATACTAAAGATAAAAAATAAGATAAAAAATAAAAACTATCCTTCATATAAACTCTATTCAACAATTAGCTCTATTCAACTCTGTTCAAAAATTAGCAATATAAACATTATAAATAAAAAAATTTAAAAATATTTACTGTAAGGATATTTTTACCTGAATTGTACATGAAATATTGCACATGGAGTACTGATTACATTGCTAATGGGAATGGTGATGGATTAACAATGTAAACATTATATGTAGAAAAGAAAAAAAAATCTTTACACTATAGAAATATTTTACATGTATTGCACAGGGAGTTGCCCTGCAATGGACTGGCGACCTGTCCAGGGTATACCCTGCCTTCTGCCCAAAACCAGCTGGGATAGGCTCCAGCACCCCACCGCGACCCAGAAGGAAAAGCGGTTTAGATGATGTGTGTGTGTGTGTGTGTGTGTGTGTGTGTGTGTGCGCGCACAGGGAGTATTGATTATATTGCACACAGGATGATGAATTCACAGTTTACATACTGTAGGTGTGTGAGGTCTAATGGGGGGTGGAGGAGGTTCTACTGGGAGCAGTGCTGGTTGTACAGTCTAACAGCAGCAGGAAGGAAGGACCTGTGATAGAGCTCCTTCCTACACTTGGGGTGAAGCAGCCGGTCACTGAAGGAGCTGCCCAGTGCTGCCAAAGTCTCATGCATGGGGTGGGAGCTGTTCTCCAGCATGGATGCTAGTCTGGCTAACATTCTCCTGTCTCCCACCACCTGCACTGGGTCTAGGGGACTTCCCATAACAGAGCTGGCCCTCTTAATGAGTCTGTCAAGTCTCTTCCTGTCTGCAGTTGAGATGCTGCTGCCCCAACAGACCACTCCATAAAAGATGGCTGATGCCACCATGGTGTCGAAAAAGGTCCTCAGGAGTGCCCCTTGCACTCCAAACGACCTCAGTCTCTTAAGCAGGTAGAGTCTGCTTTGGCCTTTCCAGTATCCTATCTCTGTCTTAATTTAGCACACAATAAAATTACAGTGGGCCATGTTAATGTTTGCTTTAGTTTTGAGATACTACAGTCCACTGAAATCATTTACAATCAACATGCAGAGAATAAAATTATCACTGATGTTATCTGATGTTAGCTGAAATCTGTATTTTGTGGGGTGGATGGGGCTCGCTCTTCGCCATAAAGTTGTGACAAAAAATGCAAATGCCAAACTATAAAAATGTCCTGTAAATTTTACAGTAAACAACCAGCAGCAGAGTTCTAAGCCATTAACTGTAATTTACATGAATGTCATTGTCATTACAGAATGATACTGTAAATGCATAATGCTAATCTACTGAACATATTTGAATGTACAGTAAAATGCTGGCATATTAAACAGAAAAATTACCTGAAAGGAGCTGTAGCTGAAGAAATTAAAGCAAGAGACTAGAAATGAACAAACTAACAAGGAATGCTTGGAAACTTTGCCCCTTCACAACAATATGATTGGGTTGGAGCGGGGAGGCCCCATGAGACCATGATTCGCCCCTGTTCAGAAACGGGCCTGAATACAGTAGATGCTGGATTGCTGCTGTACATTTGTGCTCAAGATATGACACTGCCTATGGATGTCCTCCTTTAAGTCAAAACGGCTCAGTAATAATGTAATTCATTATAATAATTATTACAGATGCTTGATTTGCTGAATCAAATCATTGTTAATGTATCGCAATGAACCAAACTGTTCTTAATTCACAAAAAACAAATAAAAAACAATGAATCATGAATTGAATTAATATTTTCCACCCCTAATAATAAATGATCACTAACCTTATTATAACTTATTATAGTACTGCATTACTTTTAGATAAGTAGAGCTGACTTCAAATTTAACATCTTTCAATAACACTTTAAATGTAACATCAAAAAAAATGCCCTAAGTGACATTCATGCTTTGATGACATGCAGCTCCAATGTTGCAATATTCCATTTCAACACTCAGCACTCACGATGGATAAGAAAGCGAGTGTCATTCGATCATGAATGTCATTCTGAGTGAGCAAAACTGACCTGATAAGACTCCCTTAACTGATCTGACCAGGTCGAAAGACGTTATGCAGTCTGAGAGACAGATAAAGGGAGAGAAATTAGTGTATTTATGTATATTTTTGCATGTAGACTGCATCACAACCCAGTGTGTGCAATGATAATGCAGCTCTTTAATGTAGCTAAGCATTCTAGAACACATGCATCCACAAGCTAAGTGCTCTAGAAACCAACTACACACTGGCGGAGCATTCTAGCACCAGTGTCACCAGATTGGTCGGTTTCCCACCACTTTGTATGGATTTTGGTTGGACTGGGTGGGGAGAAATGTGCTTTGCGAGGCGGACAAATTTGAGCTGGTTTGTGATGATTTTAAGTTTTAAGTATGTATAATTAATATTAATGCAGCTGAATGTTGAAGTGGCTTAACTTCTCCTCACAGCCAATCATTTATCAAAACTTAGATTTTATTCACTTCATTTGAGAGGAGGCCATTGCAATGCCCATCAGGATCATTTGCAATCTCAAAGGCAAGACATGGCATGGATTGTACAGTATCCAGTTTTTGATATGTGCACTTTTTTGGCCATTTTTTTCAAGCGTTTTTGTGGCTTTTTTGGATGGCAATTGTAGAAGCAATCTGGCAACCCTGCCTAGCACTTAAGAACACCTAGCTAAGCATTTTATGTTTGTTCCACGAGTATGCATATTGAACGTCAGCCACTATTTTGCTCGGCTTACTAAAAGAGATTCTTACACACTTTTAAAAGTAACACAAATTTATTGGCCTGTAGTGAAAAATATTGTCACTGTCCAAAGAAAAACAAGTATCTCCAAAATAGAAACTTTACAGGAGATGGTAAAAACACTCTTTACTTTCAATGTAAGTCAATGTACAGAGATTTTATTCAAAGCAGTTTTGGAGCATTTCTACTGGTCCAATGATAATGAAATTTTCACACAATGTTAAGGACAGCCGCTGAGCTCAAATTATGCAGTAAGATAAAAATTGCCAAAAAATGGAAATAGCTGTTTTTTTTTTTTTTTTAAACAGCTGTATAAGTCTTACCGAAAGACTCTCTTATGGTTCCTGTTTGTTTAATCTTCAATCAGCAGTCTTCCAGGTCCCTTTCCCTTCACAGAAGCAGTGAGGGTTCTTCTGCCTCATATTGACAACATGTTGATGTTAAATGTTTGACACAAAGTCTAAGAAGACCAAAGCAAAGCGAATAATTTTTTTCTTAATTCACAGAAATCAATTACCTTATTATACAAACCCATTTCCAACAAAGTTTGGACAGTGGGTAAAATGCAAATAAAAACTGGAAGTCTTGTTATGCTCAAAATATGAAAACATAGGCCCTGTATGGCTGCATAACTGACGACTTGTATAACAGAAGAATGGCAAAAAAATTGCTTTCAAACGTGAATCATTTGGTGTCTTCAGTCACCAAATGTTTACTAAGTGATGGTTAAAGGAAAGTTAATGTGCACCGTGGTAAACATGCTCCTGTCACTACTTTTTTAGAATATGTTGCAGACATCATATTTGGAATGAGCATAGATTTGCAAAAAAACAAAGTTCATAAGGTAAAACGTCTGACTGTGTTTTTTATCAGTTTCAATTTAATACAAGTCAAACAGAATTGACTAATCAATGCTATTTTTATCAACATTGCACATACTGTCCAAACTTTTTGGAATTGGGTTGTATATATATATATATATATATATATATATATATATATATATATATATATATATATATATATATAAATATATCATTTAGAATATACTGAAGAACTGCCTGCTGTTTGTCTTGAGAGCTAAAACATAAAATGCTATTAAAGACATCTATGTTTCGATAACATGCAGCTTAAGTGTTGCAATATTCTATTTCGAAATTCGAGAATAGATAAGAAAGCGAGTGTCATTCAATCATGAATGTCGTCCTGTGTGAACATAACTGACCTGATAAGCCTCCCTTAACTGATGTGTCCAAGTCGAAAGACATTTTGCAGTCTGAGAGACAGATAAAGAGAGAGAAATGAGTGTATTTATGTATTATTTTTACTTTTGCATGTAGACTCCATCATAACACAGTGTGTGCAATGCTAATGGAGCTCTTTAATGTAGCTAATCATTCTAGAACACATGAATCCACTAGATAAGTGCTCTAGAAACCAACTACACACTGCCAGAGCATTCTAGCACCAGTGTCACCAGATTGGTCGGTTTACCACCTCTTTGTATGGATTTTGGTTGGACTGGGTGGGGAGAAATGTGCTTTGCGAGGTGGACAAAATTTGGGCTGGTTTGTCATGATTTTGCCAAGTTTTAATTATATACAGTTAAAAATAATGCAGTTGAATGCTGAAGTGGCTGAACTTCTCCTTACAACAGTCATTTACCAAAACATTGATTTATTCACTTCAGCTGAGAGGAGGCCATTTACCTTATTATACAAATCCAGTTCCAAAACATTGGGACAGTAGGTAAAACACAAAAGAAAAACTGAAAGCAGTGTTTTATATATCCACTTTGGCCTGTCTTTGAACAAAAACAGTAGAAAGGCAAGATATGTAGTGTTTCGACTTATCATCTTCATTGTTTTTTGTAAATTTACACTCATTCTGAAATTGATGTCTACAACACATTCCAAAAAAGTTGGGACTGGGGCATTTTAAGACTAGCAACATTGTGAAACGTTCAAAAAACATCTTAAACAGGTGATGCAAATATGTTTGGGTATAAATTGAGTATTCCAGGAAGGATCTAGTCCTTTATGAGTGAGGATGGGTCGAGGCTCACCACTTCGCCAAAAATATATCAGCAAAAAATCCAACAGTTTTAAAACAACGTTCCTCAGCTAAGGATTGAAAAGATTTTAGGTATGTCACCCTCTACACGCCTTAATATCACCAAAAGATTCAGGGAATCCAGGGAATTCTCCATGCAAAAAGGAAAAGGCTGAAAACCACAAATAAATGTCTGTAACCTTCAGTCACCCAGAGAGCACTGCTCTAAAAACTGGCATGTTTCTGTGATGGATGTCACCACATGGGCTTGGGAATACTTTGATAAACTTTTGTTAGCACAAAACTGTTCATTGCTGTGACCACAAAAGCAAGTTAAGACTATTCACAGCAGAAGTTGTTTGTCAACAGCATCTAGAAATGCTGTTAACTTGTCTGGGTTTGAGCTAATCTGAAATGGACTAATGCACAGTGGAAACGTGTATAGTGGTTTGACGAGTCAACCTTTCAGATTACTTATGGAAATAATGGACAGGGAGGATATTGGATAAGCTGCATATCTGAGAAAGCACCACTAACACTGAACTCATTTTGAGAAGCATATGCTGCCTTTTAGATGTCGTCTTTTTCAGGGACACCTATACTTATTTCAACATAACAACACTAAGTTACATTATATATATATGCATTTCTGACATCACTTAAGTATCTCTAGATGACTGTAGGCATGGTTATTACACAGGAGGATTTCTGGAGCATTATAAAGACTCATTTACAATATACTCAAGAGGTGCCTGCTGTTTGTCTTGAGAGCTAAAAAATAAAATGCTCTTGCAAAAAATAAAATAACCTGCAGCTTCAATGTTGCAATATTCCATTTCAAAACTCAAGAACAGATAAGAAAGCGAGTGTCATTCAATCATGAATGTCATCCTTTGTAAGCATAACTGACCTGATAAGCCTCCCTTAACTGATGTGACCAGGTCAAAAGACAGTATTTATGTATACTTCTGCATGTAGGCTAAATCATAACACAGTGGGTGCAGTGCTAATTCAGATCTTTAATGTAGCTAATCATTCTAGAACACATACAACCAACTAACTAAGTTCTCTA